CCTGGGCAAGTTACTTAACCCCATTGCCTAGCCAAAAAAACAAACCAAAACAAACAAAAAAGAAGAAGAAGAAGAAGAAGAAGAAGAAGAAGAAAGAAAAGAAAAAAAAGGAAAGAAAGAAAAAAAATTCTAGTTCATATTATTGAAGTTTTTGGTCTTTGACACTTTCTTCATTGGACTGGATAGTTCTAATTGATTAGGATCTATTATACTGAATTCACTTAATTCAGTCACCTTAGTTCCGGGGCATGTAATTTAAATATATCTAGATCCAGTGAATGACTTGGACATATCCCATTTGTTATCAGGGTCAGTTCTGAAATACCCTTCTCAGAAAACTAATTTTAAATTCATTAAGAAAGGAAAACAATTATGTTGAAATACAGGTTACACACACACACACACACACACACACACACACACACACACACACACACACACACCCTCTTTAAATTTTTAAGGGGCAGTCAGGGTTAAGTGACTTGCCCAGGTCACATGTCTGAGACCAGATTTGAATTCAGGTCCTCCTGACTCCAGGACCAGTGATCAATTCACAGACATATACGTACATACACACAAATAGTTATATGTAAAGATAGATATCTGTATCTATCTATAGATATAAATATAGATAAAGATATCAAATTCAAGAACTCCAGGTTGAGAACTTCTGACTTATCTCTATAACATTGTATACTAAATTACTTTATATATCTTATATTCCTAGTAATCTCATAATTTTCTAGGATCTAGTACTTTCAGTGACACAGATAACATCACTTTCTGTTACAAAAATGTTTTTAGGCATCTTTAGAATGCCCTAGTTTCTTTAATATAATGTATTTTTATAGTTTCTTATACAAACTAAATATGTAATATACAATTTGTTAGGCTGTAAACACAATATGTTCTCCCATTTCTGGTACGGTTTCAGAAAATATGCTTGTTAAAATGATAATGGAAGCAGCCTTGAGAGGAAAGACATATTCTGTTTTGAATGTGTTGAGTTTGAGATATCTGTGGGATATCCAATGAGAGATGTTGATTTGAGTGTATGTTCGGTGCTGCTATCCTCGATGCAGATTTACTGTTTTTAGGTGAGAATCAATGATTCAGAGAGGTGACCTGACTTGTTCACACTTTTTCCCTCTCCCTCATTGATCCACCAAATAGCATTTAGTTAGAATATTTAAACCAAATACCAACATACCCAATCTCACCAAGTCACATGGTAGGTTTTGGCCAGCGCAGAACTGAGATAAGAAATTTTGGAGTATTTGGTAACCAAAAGATTCTCTACTCTAGGATCTCTAAACATGAGTCTTTTTCATGAATATTTCTCAGAGTTTATCCCTGTCCTCTTTAATGGTGAGGTCCAGCTAAAAAAATATGTATAGTGTTGAGCACCTCATAGTAGTGTGCCCACTAAAGTTCTCATCCCCACTGGTTGTACTCATGTGGGTTCCAGGACAGTTTCATAGTAGAGAACTGGCCTCAAAGTTAGGGTTTGGGTTCCACCACTAACATATAGTGACTAAGTGACTCTGGGCAAATCCCTTAACCTCTCAGTGCTCTAGGCAGTTCTTTTAAGACTTAGTTTCAAAGAAAATATGAGCTTGTATTGATAGAGGGTATTTATTCTTTTGGGAGTTCCCAGTGAAATCCCAAATCTAGTCCCTGTTCCTGTGTCTATCCTTTGCCTGACATCCCATGGTGACTTTAGGATTGATAGTATAATGAGGGATTTGAAATGTTGCTGGTTTTTTTAAATAATTCAGAATAGAAAATATTTAATAGATAAACGATTTATTGGCAGGATTACATTTTTATATTTTTGGTTTCAACTGGTAATTATATACCTTGCTTTGTATAAGCTGATGTTTAAATATCTTAAAACTACTGAAAACTAGTAGATAGTGATTATGTAAATTGTAAATGTTATTCAAGAGAAATACGTAGTTATGTAACTTCTGCTACACAATTTTTATTTGAGATCTATTGAAAATTACACTTGAAAAATTTTATCAATTAACATTCTGTGTCAAGATGGTAGACCAAACCAAAAGTTCGTCTTAAAATGCATAGTATTTAATTTGTATCAAATTTGGATAAAATCTGTTGTTAATTCATTTTAAAGTTATGAACCAGACAAACACGAAATGGCAACCATTTGAAACAGAGACCCATATTCATCCAACTGATAGTATTCTCAGAGTAGCCACTGACTGTACCAGTAACTTTTCTAAATGTGAAACATCATAAAATAACATGAAGTTCAAAGACATGACATGGCCTTTGAACTATGTGAGCTACGTGATGTGAGATGCATAGAGAACTGACCAGTACCAGGTTTAAGATGCTGTGCATGATTCATAGATTTATTTTGCTTAGTCTTACAGGGCTATCCTGAAAAATTGAAGTCAAAAAACATTAGATTTTGCTATACTAAATGAAAATGTAAAAGGTAAAGAAGAGAACCAATTTATTTTATGTTAAGGGACAGAAAGACATAGAATTTCAGAATCCTAAGGGAACTCAACAAGTTTAGTACAGCTTCAACCTGAAAGGTGAATGAACCTATGATATTCCTGCTAGGTTGTCATCCAGTCTTTACTTGAATTTCTCAGTTGATGTCGGGAGGGAGGCATGCTTTCATTTTCTTGAGATAGTATTAGTAACAACCAAAATAATCAATCAGCAGGCATTTATTAAGTGTCTAGTATATGAAAGATATTGTGCTAAGTACTGGGAATACCATGGCAAAAGTACAAAAGTACCTCTCCTCAAAAGGTTTATAATCTAGCCAAGGAGATATATATATATATATATATAATTTTAGTACTCAAATATACAAATGATTTGTGAACTCATCAATTCTGTCTATCCTAATGATTGTCTTTATGTTTCCCCTTCAGCTTAGTGGCATAGTAGTAACAGCTTTGGGCCTAGAGTCAGGAAGACCTGAGTTCAAAATAGGCCTCAAGACACTTACTAGCTCTGTGACTCTTAGATTAAGGGTAGGTCCCTTAACCTTTGTTTGCTTCAATTTCTTCAGCTGTAAAATGACTATAAAAATAGCATCTCCTCTTCCCCCGGGTATTGTAAGGATCAAATGAAATGTGATTTTTTTAAAATACACATTTTTTTTTTTACAATACACAGTTCATTGCACATACTAGGTACTTAACGCATGCTAATTCCATTCCTATTCCATCCATATTACCTGGCACACACCATGTCAAGTGTGTATAACAAATTACCAATAATTTGTCCCTCCCTGCCTCTTGTCATTCCCTTCCTCCTGTCCTTTCTTCTGTCCCTCCTTCTTTTTCTTCCTTTTTAAAAGAAATTTCATTTTATGATAGAGGCATGAATTCTCAGTCTCTGACTTTTCTCATTTCTTTTAAATTATACTTCCCTCTATCCTCTCTTTTTCTCATCCATATATTGAAGTCACCAAGTGTATGTTGATTTGATTTGGAAAATATTATAAAGTTGTTCATAGAATTGCTCTACCACATTGCCCTGAGCGACAATTAGTGGAACAAAATCTACGTTTATTTTCATGGTAGTACTTTAACAAATGCTTGCCATTAATAATGCAACACTTGAGAACCAAATTTCCCATGAAATATTTTTTCTTGCAGCTTTTGGGTCTACCATAAAACCCAGTTTATTAATTCTTTTCATTGTTTCTGGTAGGAGAATCAGAAAGCTGTCCTTCCATTTAACTGTATCATTCTTTTCTTCTAATTTCATTTATATCAAGAATGTCAAGATTAACATGATCCAGCTCCTCCAGCAGTGTATCCACCTCTTGGTCATAACACAAAGATCTCACATTTGTAGTACCAGTTAAAGGTTATTGACAGTCTAAAGCTATTTATTATTCAGCACCAAGTGGCCAACCTGCTGGTGACAGGCCTCTCTGTAATTAGCTAGTCTGGCCTTGGAAAACAGAATTTATCTATTCCGGAGGCTGTGCTCAGTGTCTTTCTATCGTGGTAGAATCTATGAGAACTTGTACTATCTAGTATAGCCTTTGAGAATCTAGGGTTGCCTCTATCCCACAAAGAGGACTTCAAATATACGTGTGTGTGTGTGTGTGCGTGCGTGCGCGCGCTCATACTAATGAAAATATCTGATAGGCCATTTGAGGGGTAAGACGTTAGCAGATCGGAAAAAGTTTCATGTGGAAGATGGCATGGGAGCTGAGTCTTAAAGGAAACTAGTTGATTCTAAAAGACGAATGTGAGGAAGCAGTGCATTTCATTCACGAGGTATAGTTGTAGGGAGCAGAGGCAAATGAGCCACAATAAGAAAGTCAATTAATCTTAATTATAATATACCTCTGTGAAATTAGATTAGAAATTAGGTTTCACCCAGGTTGCTATTTGTTTATATTTGGTCCTCGAAGTAATTAGAGAGTCACTAGAGTTTGGGAACTGGTGACGTGTTCAGACCTGTGCTTTAGGAAAATCACTTTGGGCAGCTTTGTGGCAGAGGGATTGCAGCAGAGGTACTTTAGACAAGGAGACCCATTAGGAGGCTATTGTAACACTTAAGACAAGAGGTGGTGAAAGCTCACACTATGGTGATGGCTCTGTTAAGTAGAAAGATGACAGATGCAGAGGATATTGTAGAGTTAGAAATGACCAGACTCAGCGACTGATTAGATATGGAGGGTAAGTGAGAATGAGAAATCAAAGATAACATTGAAGTTGTGAACCTTGGTAATCATCCAGATACTGGAGAAATGACTGCATAATATAGTCTGTTTTCAAATTTCATGTGATAGTTGTAAGTATTCAGGGCTGTAGTGAAATGTACCATTGACTCCATTTTCTTCTTTGCATCACATTATAATATTATGTTCTTATTTTAATATATTTCTCATATTATCATATTCACTATTCAATTTTTAAAAATATAAAAATGAAACATCTGTTAGGTTTGTAAATTTGTATCCATCTAATCAATTTTATATCATTGTATTCTAGAGACCGGGTAATTGGTCTAATGATGACTGCTTGTGACCTTTGTTCTGTAACAAAGCTGTGGCCAGTTACAAGATTGACAGCTAATGACATATATGCAGAGTTCTGGGCTGAGGTATGTATGTGTTTCTCTTACCTACACAGATAATATCAAGAAGTATGAAAAACTCAAGAAAAGAGTTAAATAAATAGCTTACAATTATTTTTAAAGTGTGTTATTTGTGTTAATATTCATTTTGAAGTTATCTGTTAACAGCTATTCTTTACCAAAATGAAAGAAACCATAACTAATATCTGTACTAAGAACAAAGATATTACTTTTTTATGTTGGAAATTCCTATGACAGTCTTCACTACATAAAATTCGTTGGTTCAAATGAAAGACTATCTATAACTCATTCAAGAAACAAAAATTATTATTTTTCTTCAGCTAATATTTAGATCTTTTTCCCCACACTTTGTAATAGATCCATATATGAAAATACCTGTTGATAAAAATGATTTTGTTGCATTGCCATGTAATAATGGCAGAGATAAATAGAACTCAGAGAATGTGGGTTCTGTAGCAGGAATAGAGAATTAATTAAAAACACAATACTCAGAGTGAAATTTTTATTACTCTTATTGTCTTCTTTGCTTACATTATCTTATCAGAAATGTTATTCCATTTTTTAATTTGTAAGTTTACAATGTAAATTGCCTACCCAGTCAATATACTGGGAAAGTATTGAGTTATATGAGTCCCTTCATTACTGGGTTAGGGAACTGAAAGATATTTTTTTTTCATACATTCTCATTCATCTTCTTTTAGGAAAGTTACATTTTGTAGTTTGATATTTGATACTTAATAGTTTAACTCGTAACTCACCCAGGAAGAGGAACAGACTGAAGAAGTAAAAACGAGCAAATTGTTCATCAGCAGTTTTAAGTCGAAAAGTTTTACATTACTTAAATTTGTTTTTAGCATTGAAGCAAAAGAATTCTTGTATGAGCACCATGATTGTTCAGTTGATTACATGTCATGGAACTGTTTCTCTGCAATGCTGTATGCCGTGTGTAATTGGGTGGTCCACACATGTTGTGGGTATGTGTATATGTGTGCTTTGTCAGTTATTGTCAGATTCATTTAGTAAAGTTATTTCAGATGTGTATGTCTTAAATTCCTTATCTGAAAGAATTTGTATAATATTTTTCTGATTAGGTTTTTATAACAATGTAAAAGTTAATTGCATATTTTTTTGAAACTGGTATGTCTGGATTCCATTCTATGAGTATCCCTTAGAATGTTTTTGGAAAAAAACAAAACAAAACAAAAAAATGGGGCAGCTAGGTGATGAAGTGGATAGAGCACTGGTCCTGGAGTCAGGAGGACCTGAGTTCAGATTTGGCCTCAGACACATAACACTCACTAGCTGTGTGACCCTGGGCAGGTCACTTAGCCCCGATTGCCTCACCAACAACAATAACAACAAAAAACATTTTTTGGATGTCTTGAAAAGTAATTGTTGTCCCAGACATACATTTCATTAATTGTGGTTCTGTAGTTAAATTGGTCTCCTAAATTAGAAAATCTTAGGTGTCATAGATATGTAAAATACTCATTTTTTCCCATGTAATTGAGATTAATTATTATAGCACTAAGATTTCCTTTGAATGGTGTTATCTAAAGAGGCACACTAAGAAAAATCTTTGTAGAAATGACTTTAAAAGTCAATTAGTCCAATAATCAATTCCTCTTCAATTTCTTCATTATTTTGTATTTTTACAAATTGATGCATTTTAAAGAACTGGGCCAATTTTATTCAACCTTCACATTCACCAGAATGCACAAGATGTGAGAGGTAATCAATTAGTAATTGAATTGAATGAAAGAGAAGAGAATGGAAGGTAAAGGAAAGGAAGGGAAGGGAAAGGAAGAGAGAAAAGATGGGTAAGTGTTTTGTTTGTTTGGTTGGCGTTTTTGATTGAAGACTAGCTAGGAAACGTTAATGTAATTGTGAAGATTCTAAATTTTAACTAATCGTGTTGCATTGCATTTGCATTGTGATTTCTACTTTTTAAAAATGTCTTACGATTACAAATCCTAATGTAGGGCCACACACCCAACTTTTCACTCACACTGGCAGGTGAGGTTCTGCTGAGGACAGTTACTATCTACTCTCAGCATTTTAGGGGTAAAACTAAGGGGCTGGGATTCTAATACTGATGCTTAAAAGCCTCCATGGATATTTTCATTGATAACCAGATTTAATTATCTTTTTAGCAGAGCTGTTTACTAAGATAATACAGTAAAAATGGTTCTAAAAACATTCCTTTCAAATGTCTGGGACACATACTCTCACAGATACATGTAACCCATAGGGAAGGTGGGTACAAACTTGAGTATAATGTTAGGAAGGCACATATTATAGAATACGTGGGGGCAGCTAGGTGGCGCAGTAGATAGAGCACCAGCCCTGGATTCAGGAGGACCTGAGTTCAAATATGACCTCAGACACATAACACTTACTAGCTGTGTGACCCTGGGCAAGTCACCTAACCCCATTGCCTAGCCAAAAAAAAGAATGTGTGTTAACTCATAATTCCTAGTTGCTAGACATCTTTCCCTTCTTTTACAGAGTTTTCATAAAGGTACCATTGTTAGGTATAGCTGGCACTTTTCTGTACCAGGAAGAATCATTCTCTTTAAAATTGCCTTTTCCTTGAGTGGCTGTGTTGTCTCCAAGTGCTCCAGCATCACTGAATTGTATCTGGAGTCCTTTCTGCTATTGGTCCAGTCTCTCCAATAACATATCCAGTGGAGAGGGGCAAGAGAGAGAGAGAAAGACAATGAGAGGGAGAGACAGACACAGATAGACCCTTCCATTTGAAGAAATTGCTCTTTTTATATGCAGCTCAAGAAATCTCTTGATCTTCTCAGCCAGTCACACAGTGTTTTCTAGGTGGCTTCAGTTTTTTCATCCAAGACCAAAACCCTATAGTATTCTGAAGTTTATTAAAGACTTATTCATATCTAGTTTATACTTTTGATGGATTGATTGATTTAATTGTCATGTATGAACTTTAATGATTAAATTAATGGGAAGCAGAACCCCACCCTTACACTTTTAAAGACACATACACACGTACATATACAGACATATAGACATACACACGCAGTTAAATATTTTGCATTCCCAGCAAATAATTAGGGGCGTTTTAAGTCCATAGTCACTGATTCCGATAAACTATCTAGTGATTTGGAGAGGCTTAAGCATTGTCTTCTTCAGGTACACTATCCAATGCCTTCTACTAAAAAGCCTTAGAAAAGTCCATGTCACAGTTCACAGATGGTGCAGATGTTAAGAAACTTTCATACTTTCAGATACACAATGATAAAATTTAAACAGATATCAGCCAATGGCATTTTACAAAATTCTTACAAGTTATTGCCTGTTGCAGTCCTGACCCTCTGGCATCAGGAGTTACAGGGAAACATTCCCTCTCTCTTTTCCATTGGAAAGTCCTTCTACTCTGGGCTTAGGTACCAAGTGCTGGGGATGGGGGGAACTGGCACTGGGACGATGGGAAACTGCGTCATTCATCCTTTCCCTTTTCTGCTGAAATCTCCTCTTCTCTGAAGCACACAGGTACATAAATACATACATACAAATGTACAGGTTTGATAATAGGTATTTCTTCTTGGTCCTTATATAACACAGGCCACCAAAATCTCTCTAGGGAACACTGGAAATAGATAAACGATCCAGCAGATAGTTGTGAGTAAACATCTCTAGATGTATCGTCATGTACAGGACACAAGAAATGTTTATTGGGATTTTTTCACATATAAAGTGATTCCACCGGAACCTAAGACAGACACTTCTTCATGGTCCCTTTACCTTAGAGTATCCTTAGTTTTTTCTAGATCTCCATAAAACATATAGGGAATTCCACTGGAGATGCAGATTTACTCCTCACTATATAACTAACTTAAAAAGAAAAACAACTCGGAGACACCACAGGGAAGTTGAGAACTCCCAGAAGCTGTTAATGACTAGGAGACTGTGTAGTCCAGCCAGCAAACTTATTTTGTGGACCTGTAGTCCCTAAATATCTCACAATAAGGCCAGTACTAGATCAGCTTAAAAGCATAGTTGGGCTATATTAAATGATTGTAGTAACACAACAAATATTAACTACTTAAGTATTCAAACAACAAAAATATCTAAAGAAAATAACTGGTCTGACCTTTAAGGGAATACAATCAGAAAACAGACTGTCAAATTATATTCTAAGGCAACACAAATCTCAAAGAGAAATCTAGAAACCTGGAGGTGGTCTCCAAGACCCTTTCAAGGGAACTGCAAGGTTAAATACTGTTTTAATAGTGGGTGCCTGCAGATTAGCATGCCCACATAAAGAATTTCTGATGAATTTCTGCAAAGGCCACGGGCCTTAGAATCCTCCTAAATGAAGTTCCCACAGCATAGCTCTCCTTCTGGAGCCACCTCCTTCACTGAACCTAGCTTATAACTATTAGTGTTCTAGGAGTAACGCTGAGGGGCTGGCTTGATAGTACTGTCATTCTTAGCTCCCAGGGGAATGCTCTCCATTGACAAACAAACAATAGTAGTAACTTGGTATGTTAAAAAATAGTACAGATCTATCAAGTTTGGTGCTGAAACCAGTTTATAACGAGGTGGCTGACATTTTGGAAAACCTTATTGAAATTCAAAATTACTTTGACAAAACTAAGAGAGTATTCCATAATACCATTGTTATAGTTTATTTAGGATACCACATATAATATCTCCAGAACTTTATGTAGGGAAACATAATGTATGCTCTTAAAGACCCTAGTGTAGATTAGAAATATTCCATAATTATCAATTACAAATATACTATCATTGTTTATAAAGAAAATTGTACTAGCAATACGGTTTGTGGGGACAGTGAGTCATCTTCCAAGTTTGATGTACATTGAGTTAGACTTGCAGGAAACTGAAAATTATTGTATGAGGTATGGAGAAATTAAGAAAGATTTGTTTAAGTAGCACAGTGGATATCCCTGTGCTTCATTTTCCTTTTCTATAAAATGAGGGTAACAATAGCACCGACCTCACAAGGTTGTTATGAGGATCAATTTGAGTTAACAAAATGGAGGATACTAATGGCACCTACATCATCACAGAGGACTTGTGAGAATTGAATAAGATAACATTTAAAGCACTTTTCCAGTTGCAAGGCTCTATATAAACATTAGATTATTATTATTATTATCATTATTCAGAAAATTCATGTTTGTGCATCAAACATTTTATAGGCTCCAGTTGAATTGCTCAAGATCATTCTTTCCACCCATACACTAGGAGCATGAAAGAGAATTTGGAAAACTATGAAGAAAAAAAAGACATTGCTGTTATTTAAAGTAGTTCCTTCTACTTTTTCTTTTGGGTCCTCCCTGTGGACTAAATGAACTATGATGGCTTCCAACTCAAGGATTCTATAAGGCCTTTTATTTCTTTCAATTCCCCTTATTAATGCTTGGAGGAAGGAGACAGAAAGTGTGGGTGCATTTCTAGCAATTCTAATTTACCTTAAAGAAAACATTAAGATAAAATGAAGGAAATTATGAGATAACTAGAATATATTATACTGTGAAAGAATAATTCTATTGAACTTTTTCTGAAATATATCTTTTAGTAAACTGTTTTACTTCTGGATTGTCAAGCAAATATAATACATTTTTAAATAAAAAGATCCTCATACCCTCCCCCCAAATTATATTCCCTTAATTTCACTACTTATTTGTAAAGAGAGAAAATGTTACTCTTCCTCTTTTTTTCTTTTACTTTAGGGTGATGAAATGAAGAAATTTGGAATACAGCCTATCCCTATGATGGACAGAGACAAAAAGGATGAAGTACCTCAAGGCCAAGTATGAATTATTTCATTAAACAGATGTTTTGTTTCAGTCATAAATGGTGCACAGGAAACTCCTAATTGAGTAAAATGTGAAATCTTACAACATATTTTGCACGCAAGGTTGTATTGTATTATTATAGTGTGTCATGATGACCCCATTATAGCCATCTTCTTTAGAAAGACTGAGGAAAGTAGAAAAGATAGCCACCTTTAGTCACCTTGAACATTGAGTATTCCACACATCTAAAGCATTTTATTGACCTAAATTTAGAGAATTCTGTACTAATAACCCAAAATACCAGTTCTAGGGAGACTTCTATGAGAGGAATCGATCACTTCTACTTATACAGAGTCCTACTATGAGGGTTGCCATGGAATGGTGGTGAATGCTTTAGATTCTGAATCCCACATCTGGATTTCAAAGCTTCATAGGTCTGTCTTGTTGATCTGGAGGAGAACAACAGAGTAAACTGTGAGAACTTCTGATTTCTTACCCTTGAGTCCTAAATAGCTAAGCAGAACAAATGCTAACTTTAATGGTGGTTGTGAATATTTGGTGGTAATAACATAAAACATTTTGTACATTTTGTACTGCTTATCTTTGTGAGACATTACTAGGTTATCTACCCGTGTACAAATAACTCTCTGCTTTTACCTTTTGCCCTACTCACTAATGTCCTTCTTAAAACAGCTGACATGAATTAATGAAATAGCACTTTTTAAATCCTTATTATGTACCAAGCATTGCAGTTAAGTGCCAGAGATAAAAATACAACAGCAAATACAATCCCCTACCTCTAGGAAGCTTATGCTCTAACAGGGGGTGATGGTTTTCATAGGAGAGTAGGGAACCAGGAGGAACATTTTGGGCCATAAACTTGCAGGGATGGTGGAGTCATAGGAGAGCATGTTGATAGACTTCAGAAGCAATCAAGGAGTTGATTTAATCATTATTTAAGTGCTAGAAGAGATAGGAGGAGTATAGATGTATGCCCCTGAGGCACCTGGAAAGGCCAGAAGATGGCTAGAGAATGAAATGAAGGATGGCTTGGACCTGCCTAGTGACAGTAGGGCCTAAAGGTGGAAATTCGGAGATGGAAGGATTAAAACATCTAATGAGGGATTTTTGCTGCTTGGAGCTACATACATAGAGTTTATTTAGTTTAGTTTTTTTTTTTTAAATTACTAATATTTTAGATGTGAGTACTTCAGGTGAAATAGAAAAGTGAAAAGACCACTGATTTGATGAATATAATGAAAAGTAACCTATTTCAGAGTTTTGGAAACAAGATTTTATTTTACTTCTAGGTTATTCAGATATGCATTGAGTTTAAAAGATCATTGTGTATTGATTATTTTAGAGCTTGGATTCTTATCTAATGTAATTTTTAAAACTCAGGTGAATAATTGATTTACACTATTTAGAGTTTGCCAGAATCCCAAGGGCATTTTGGTATATTTAAATCATTTATAATGAAAAAGAATTTTTTAAAAGGGCTTAATCAAATGGTTCCAGTTCTTTTGCTAGTATTGCTTTCATTAAGAGTTTAATCATATGGATGCTTGTTTATTAAATAATATAATATGTTTGCTGCTTTATCCTATTAAAAAAATATCTAAATGTATAGTCTTGAGTTGAACTCTACAATGAAAGTTTTGCCAGTGTTTTATATGAATATAGAGTCCACTCATGTAAAATCAATTAAATTTTAGAGACTAATTGGATTTAAAAATATAGATTGCCTCTCTGTGTTTAAAACATGTGTTCCTGAAAAGATGCCTGTAAGGCAAATTACTATATATTGTTTTATTTTCTCATTAGTTTCCATTTCACATATATACACATATATATGTATGTATGCATGTGTGTACTTTACCTCATGTCAGGATTAAAAAATCACTCTTAGGCTGCTTTGTACCTGAGATTCGGTTCCCAAGCCACAGCTCAATCATATTCCAAGCCAGACTTCTGACATTCCGCAAAACTAGTGAAGACCTCTTTTCTGCCTTGTAGCACATGCTAAATGTTAAGGTTACAAATGCATGAATAGTTGGGAGACTTATGAGTATAGTAAATGTATATTGGATAGCCACTGCAGTTGTTCATTGAACTGAGCCCAGAATTGAAAAAGAGAAAGACAAGGGCTGGATAAGAGATTGAACAGTATTTTTAATGACTCTTAGCATATTCTAATGATATTATGTAGCTGTAATGATATTATGTAGCTCATAGAATACCACTGCTAACAGGTCTGGACAATGGGCGTTCTTTATCCACTGGGTTTTTCCCATGTGAAATGTTAAGCCAAATTCTTTTAATTGCCTATGGATAAAATTGAAGAGGTTCTGCAGTGTTCTGTGGCTCAGTGCAATCACACGCTATAGTGCACAGACAGGAGCATCTTAGAATGTGGACTCTGTACTAAGAACCTCCATAATGGCAATAAACATAGGTTTCTCTTCTGAATCAGTGTTGCCCTTCCAGGTCTCTCCACTTATCAAGGAAATCGAGGGCTGGCTAGCAGAGGTAGTTCATAGGCTTTTTGGATGTAGGCTCTTCTTTATATAGAAATACATAAAAATATGTCAAGTATGTATTAATGACTTCAGTTTTATTTCATATTCATTTCTGATTATATCCTTTCTTTCCCTAATGATGGAGCTCTATCTTATAACAAAGATTTAAAAAGAGAAAAAAATATAACATATAAGTGCATAGTTCATGCTTAATAGTATATGCAATATTCAGCATCCATAGCTTTAATGAAAGAAAAGATATGCCTTTTGTCAGTTTTCCTCCAAGGTTAGGCGCAGTCATCATGATTACACAGTTTCCATTTTCATTTGTTTTTGTTCCTTACATTTACATGTTGTAGTCACTGTGTCAGTTATTTTCCTAATTCTCCTTTCTTTACTCTCTGTCATTGTATGTATATCTTTCTATTCTTTATTGAATTCTTCATAATCATAATTTCTTATTGACCAGTAATATTCTATTATGTTCACAAGGTACAATTTGTTTAGCTTGTGATGGTTGTGGTTTGTCCTTCATTCTTGAAGAGGACCATGACACCAGGGGGATGATGACATGACTTGCAATTGACTTTGTTTTGAATGAGGGAAGGCTAAGCAGAGTCACCAGCCTCACTTTCTCCTCCAGAGCCATCTGGGTCCAGTGGCTAGATATTGATTAGAAGGACTGGAGATGGCCCAGGATGCAGTGGGAGACCTTGGCCCTTTTAAGCTAAGGTCTTTTCAGATTCTCCCTTTGAGTGAAGCAACACCCAATCAGTGAATAGGCCTCTTTAAGAAGTGGATCAAGGGATGGCCCCTTTAGTTAAAAAAAAAAATTAAACTTCTAGGGGAAAATCCTGAGGGTTGTTGGCGCAAAGAGAAACAGTTACTATATACATTCACTGTGAGCCAAGGAGGGCCCAAAAAATAACTATTAAGTGGTACTTGGGCAGGGACCTATTGTTGTCCAATCCCTGAGATCCAGAATGAATTGGGTTTAAGGCTTGGTCTTTGAGAAAGAAGCCTAGCCAGTGAGCTTCAAATTAACTAGGTAGCTTTTGGCCTTCAAAATTTACCTTTTTTTGGGCAGAACACCCTTAGGTAAGGGGAGAGGAGAGGAGGAGCTGAGTTGCCCACCTGGAACTGGCCAACTGGGTCCCCATTCAGGCACCTTAATCTACTCACAGGTTGTGGTTCTCAAAGAGGACCATGACGTCAGGGAGATGATGACATGACTTGCAGTTGAGTTTGATTAGAATGAAGGAGGGCTGCTCAAAGTCACCAGCCTCACTTCCTCCTCCAGAACCATCTGAGCACAGTGTCCAGATATTGATCTTACCTTGTTTCAAGTTCTTTGCTCCCACAGGAAATTCTGCTATGAATAGTTTGGTGTATATGGTACCTTTATACCTTGGACCTCCTTTTAGTATGTGCAAGATTATGTACATTTTAGTCACTTTTTTAAAAGCATAATTCCAAGTTGCTCACTGAAGTGGCTGGACCAATTCCTAGTTTCATCGCCAGTATGTTCTTGGCTTCCCACATTCCCTTGTTGGAATTAATTTCCATTAGCTTAAGTTTCTTAGGAAATTGTGATTGTTAATGTCAGTAACTTTTTCACCTTTCCATTTGGGATCATTAGTAGCTTGTTAAAATATATTAATTTGAAGTATCTCAGTTGCATGATATGTCTTTTCATTTTTATTCCTTAGAAATGATGAGATAGTGTAAGTGATCAGAGTTATTCAACCATTCCTGTTTAGCATTCGCTCTTCTACTAACTCATTGCCCAGATTAGTTACTCAGTATAAATGTTCTTCTTCCATTCTTTAAGATAGTATTGAAGAATCTGTAATTCACTTATCCATTTTTTAAAACTCTGAGCCCCACAAATAGACAATACTTCTTGAAAAAAACACCACTGTTAGATCTATTGATATTTACCCTCTGAGAATGTTTCCTTTTCAATCACCTCCTACTGTGCTTCTTATAAGTAATGCTATTTATTAAGATAAAGTAAATTTATAAAACAAAGAAAGGTATCTAGACTTTCCCTGTGCCCAGAGAAAAAGATTTCAGGCTTCCATGAGAGAACTCCAGGAGAAAGGAGTTTATGTCCTTGGGGTCATATGGTCTGGGAATTTCAGCAACATAGCATCTGTCTGAACACTCCTCATGCCTACCTGACTTAAGGAACCTTACTTCTGGAGTTACAGCCTTTTTCTTTGAAGTGGTTGCCCCTGCCTATTCTTCTCTCCTCCCATGTGTAGATTCTTACAGCTTACAGAAGAGTTGAGCTTCTATTCCAGTCTCAGTCCAGTCAAGATCACACTGAATCATGGCCCATCATTCTTAACCCTGTGTTGGTTCCTTTTTGATTTATTTAAGAAACTAATACCGTATAAAGAGATCATTTGGCATGGTGGCAATTTGGGCCATTTAATACCTCTTTAGCATCCCTTTCTTTAAGATTATATCCTGTACTTTAAAGGAACACTCATAGTAACGTTTTTTAATTTGATTTTATTACCATTTACTGTAACAAGTGATTGGTCTGAATTCAGGCAGAATATTAAAAATGACCCTCTCATTGGTAACTGGTCATTTCCTGTCTGCTATAGTTAAGACCATTTCATAGTTTGTGAAGTTATGTGTTCCTCACCTTATCCAGTGCCTCACAGCCTCATTTTGTAGAAGATATTTATGACATAAATGAGTTTCTCTAGAATCTGTAATCTTCTGATCACTTTCATTTCTTCATGCAAAGCCATGTTTGCCAGTATATTTTTTTGCCCTCCTCCCTTGTGCCCACTTTTCTTTTGAAGTTACGAAGTGGCATAAGGTGATTTAATTTGAAGAGTCTTAAGGAGTTCTTAATATGATTTTTTACTTTATCATTCTCTGCAACACATTGACACATCAGCTGCAATTATTTGATGGTCCTTTTACAAATGCTTTATCATAAGCATTGCAATGCTATTTTGTTCTCTGAAATGATGCTTCTCATTGTCACTTGGATATATGATTAAATCAACTCTGCCAACCCTTTTATATTTCTCTCCAAGGAGAGCCATCCTTCTGTTTAGTTGGAACTTTATATCTTCTGATATCACTTACAAGTAGAATATCAGTGTTATTCTATTTGTTTCACTAGTGTATTGTACATCAGCTTACTGAGAGTTGAACAAGGCTCCCTCATAAAGAGTACTAAGTGAAATTAACCCTTGTATACGGTCTAAAAACTGTGTGATTCTTAGCATCTCTTCCACCTTTTCCAACAGCTGAGTGGTCGCTACTTCTAGTGGTCATTTCCTAGTCATTACCTTAGGCCAGTTTGTGTTTTCTTTTTTTTTCTCTTGGCTGCCACCCCTAAATAATCTTTTGGTGAGGAACTTCTCTGTACTTAGTTAACTAGACTTTAAAAAAAACAAAGTCTGATGCTGGGATTCTATATGCAACCCTTCCAATGTGATGGAACCCATCAGAACTATCACCCATTAACATTTTTTGAGAACCCAGGGTCACAACAATACCCCTATGAAGCATCAGAGTAGGGCTTCTGTTGAAGGTACCATAAACTAAATTTAATCCATTAGATAGATAGATAGATAGATAGATAGATAGATAGATAGATAGATAGATAGATAGATAGATAGATGGTTGAAGACCTTTAATAAGGCCCTTCTCTCTTCTTCCTCTATAATGTTTCACTTGGCAATCTCATCAGCTCCCATCTCTAAGCTGTTGATTCTCAAATCTACTTATCTAACCCTAACCTCTTTCCCCTAATCTCCAGTCTTCCTTCTCCAGCTGCCTTTTAGATATCTTGAATTTGATGTCCTGTGGATTTCTTCATGTCCAAAACTGAACTTATGATCCTTTTTCCAAAACCCTTCTACCTTCTAAGTTTCAATATAGCCATTCAGATTCCTATTATTCTCCCAGTCACTCAGGCTCCCAAACCTAGGTGTTATCCTCAACTCTAAAGTCTCAACCCATATACCCAATCTGTTGCCAAGAACTCTCAGTTTTACCTTCATAACATATACCCCCTTCTCTCCTCTGACACACTGCCCTGCTACAAACTCATGCTTAGACTTGTGCAATCAATTTTTGGTTGGTCTCCTTGCCACAAGTCTCTCCTCACTGCAGTCCATCCTCCACTCAGCTGTTAAAGGGATCTTCCTAAAGCCCAGGTCTGACCATGTCACCCATCCACTTAAACTCTCGGGCTCTCTAATACCTACAGGATCAAATGTAAAATCCCCCTTTTGGTGTGTAAAGCCAGACCCTTCTGTTCCAGTTTTCTTACGTCTTACACTCTACCACAACTCTGCAGTCTAGTGACATTAGTTTCCTTGCTGTTCCTCCCACAAAACACTCCATCTCCTTAATCTGTTCATTTTCATAGGTTTGCTGCCATGCCTGGAATGCTTTTCCTCCTCATTTTTGTCTGGCTTATTTAAAATCCCAGTTACAGTCCCACTTTCTGTAAGAAGCCTTTCCCAATGCCTCCTAATTCTAGTGCCTTCCCTTTGTTGATTATTTCTTTTTTAATCTTTTATATCACTTGATTGTATGTAGTTGTTTGCATGTTGTGTCCCTCCTTAGACTGAGCTCCTCGAAGGCAGGGCCTGTTCCTGCCTTTTATATATTCCCAGTAGCACAATGCCTGGCACATAGCAGGCACTTAATATTGGCCAGCTGTCAGGGACTGGGTCCCAGTGCTTGACATTTAGAAACTTTATTAACTTTATTTTAAATATACATTATAAATATGTTGGAAAATATCGCAGTCCCTTTCAGTAGAAGGTTGATTCTTTACTTATAGAGCAGCATGTATAATTTTTATAGTTGAACTTTGAAAGTACAAAGAATACCTGAAAAGCATAATTGCTGCTATGATGTGTAGTATTTGACAACGTAACTTAGAAACTGATATTTCCTATCAACACTTTTTCCATCTTTGTCACAGCTCGGCTTCTACAATGCTGTAGCGATTCCCTGTTATACTACCCTTATGGAGATCTTTCCCCCTACTGGACCCCTGCTCCGGGCTTGCAGGTAAGAACCACTGCTCCCTTCTGTAGTGTTGGTCACAATTACACCCAGTGTTTATAAGTGGCTAGTGTAGGGTTTTCTGTAAAAATGTGGCAATTCATAAATAATAATAATGATAATAAACATTTACATAATACTTCCAGGTTTGCAGAAGTAGTTTACTGACATTATCTCATTTGATCAAATATGATATCTCATTATATGTATACATATGCATGCTATCTTTATATGTACATCTATGCTATATGTGTGTTGCATGTGTGTTTATACAGTATCTACTTACAGCGAGATGAAATTGAATATCGCATTTAATTGATATTACAATAAAAATACAAACCATGAATTACCACTCTGTATTAACAGAGTAAGTCTTTTTTAGGTTCCAGATTTTGTCACTGAATGGCAAAGTATATTTGCTACTGTGAATTTTTTGCCCCTGTTACATTGCTCCAAGGTCTTTGTACAAAATGATGAAAGAAGGAAGTTTAAAAAACAAAGTATGGCTGTGATTAAGTGGATAAGACTTTATCTTTCTCCCTTAGGAGTCATTGATTCATCTTTTTTTTTTTTAATGAAAACTGTAGGATGTGCTTTTAGTACACCTGTGAGCATTCATATTTCTCCAAATCTGATTATACTTCACCAAATTCAGTAATGTCTCTTGATATATGTGATGAAACAAAAAATAATTTAATCTTCATAGCTTCTATTTATTTTCATTCCTAATTTAGTCTTGCTAGTTTTAATAATTAGTCCATTGAAGGTTTAAATGCCTAAATTTCTAAATGTCCGTAAGCTTTCAACAAAGCACATGGTAGTCTTTTCCAAACTGCATAGAATTAAGAAGAGAACAAGAGGAAAGTATGTGGAGGCACCAGTTGTGGACGTCCTTCTCAAGGAGCCTAGCCATGAAAGGGAGGAGAGATTGAGAACAAAAGCTAGCGGGGATGGATCGAAGGAGGATATCCCCCCCCGAAACAAGGCTAGGAAAAGGGACCAGACCTGTGTTTATATTCATATAGGGGACATTCTGTGAGGAAGTTCTCTCTAATAATGTTGTTTGACAGGAGTAACATTCTCCGCAATCTAGTCTCAGAGGTTCTCAGAGCACTAAGAGATTAAGTGACTTGCCTAATCAGAATGTGTCAGAGGTGGAGTTCAAGCCTGGGTCTTCCTGACCTGGAGGTTGGCTCTCTATCTACTCCATGAGGCTTTCCCTCCTAAATGTACAGTTATAGTATTGTTACCATTAGTAAACATTAGTAACCTAAAAGAAAATGTAGTGTTTACCGTTTAGCTTTTCTTTGCTAATGCTTTACCTAATTTACTTGAAGTTATATGGAGCAATGATTATTTGAACAACTTCTTATTAAATTTCTACTAAAGGAAATAGATGATATTCTCCTCTCATATACATAGCATTGCATAGCTACCTCAAATTTACTAGTACTCTGAGATCTGATTTCCCAAGATAAAATTATATTACCAAAACAAATGGTAAAATGAACTTAAGTACCTTCCTGATTGTTAATTCAAAGCCAGCCCTTCAGTCTAGTTCAACTTGTATCAAGTTACCAAATTCCCACCTCAGCCATAAATGTCTGTTTATATTGAGTAACTTAGTGTAAATTACCATGTTGTGCTGCTTAAGCTATTCTTTACAGTAAATTATTGGGGAATTTTATGTGACTGCTATCTATATTTTTTTACATCTATAATACTTTATTTCTGTGATCTTTCAGTGCTACAGTTTGAAAGGTTATTAATAAAAGGAAGCCTTCAGTTAAGAAACAATCATCTAATTCAAATAATAGGTCTTAAAACTTTCTACCCTAATATGGAGCTGATTTAAATTTAAAATTTTGTCACATTTTCCCAGCATTCTGCATATAATTTAAATACTTTTGGAGTTATGTTTTTCAACACTGTTGATTTCAATGAATTTCTGTAGATCTAGATCTGGAGTCCCCTTTGTGTTACACCAGTGAAATTTCAAGACCAATCCGCCAAAAAAATCACCACAAAAAGTTGATAAAGGCTTAAAAGTAGTGACTTTTCATTTTCTCAGTTCATTTTGAAGAATCACAGCATTGAATTGAGCAAATAATGACACATTTCTCAAAATATGCACTTGATTCTGCAAACCAATAGTTGCTTGTAAAGTATCAGAAAGCTATTTCACATAGTGACCAGGCAAATGTCAGAATTATGTGAATTTGTAATATAGCACTGTTTTATAGGGAGAATTTTATATTTTTACTCATCTATATATCAATTATATGAATTTCAGATGAGGAATTTTGCACAGATATTAGATTATACTTTCATTTTAAACAGTGTAGTCACTACCAAGCCCTGATCTTATTTCTTCTGGTCTTTGTTTAGCCACCTATTAATAGAAATATTCAGAATTGTGAAAAAGTAATGTATCTTATATTTCCCTCATTTCACTTTTTGCTGAAATCAATTAAGAATTTTTAAATCTTTTAAATAAAAATTCTGATAGAAAACTGAGAGCTTCCATTCCTAGCCCATGTATCATCAGATTTGAATTGTCTATTTTGGGCAATATTTTTTTTAGTATTTTCAAAAGAAATTTCCTTAAGCTACTTTGAATACTGCCTTCTAGTGAAAAGATTTGAGCAACTCTTACAATGTCAGATGTCTTAAAAAGAATTTTAACTATTGGCTACAGTCATATTTTTATCCATTAACCTGTTATTTTTACTAAACTTATATTAATCCTTCTGTCTGGTATTTTCCAATCCATAGGTTATTATTTGCCTCACGCCCCCATCCACACCCCCCTCAAGTCAGTCGGCTGACAAATCTTGTCACATTTACCTCCACAGTATCTCTCATATTCATTTATTTATCTTCACTCTTTGGCCAATATTAGTCTAATTCAGATACTCATCACATTTTGCTTAAGCTATTACAAAATCTCCTAAATTTAATTTTGCCCCACTACAATCCATTTGTCTACCCAGCTGCCAAAGCAGTGTCCTTAACTCATAGGTCTACTTTCCCTAATCAGCATTCTCTAGTGACTCCCCATTGACTCTGAAATAAAACATAAACTTGTCAGTGTGGCATTTAAAGGCGCTCATAACATAACTACAACCTATCTTTTAAGACATATTTAATATGAATCCTCTTCATGCACTCATAGTTCTTTCCAAAATGGCATACTTCCTCTTACCCAAACTCACCTCTCACCAACCTTTCTTTTCACAGGCTGCCCCTAATGCCTAGACTGCATTTTATCTCCTAGGTTCTTCTTAGAATGTTTAGCTCCTTTCATGGCTCAACTTGAGTTGACATCTCTTAGGGAAAGCCTTTTCAGATCTGCCTGGTCAATGCTCCACTTCTTCTTCCTCAAGTTATCTTATAAGTGTTTGCTATATACATGTTATAATACATATCCCACCTCCCTTACCCCCTAAACCCCACCCCCTAACCACCATTCAACCTTGAATTGAAATACTTATTTAGAGCAGTTACTATTTTTCATTTTGTCTTTGTCATCAATGCCTTGCACATAGTAGATGCTTAACAAATTCTTGTTGAATTGTTGCAATAATTTGAATGTTTGTTAGAGTGGACAGTATCATAAGACAGCAAGTGGCTCCCCCCACTTATGTAAATTACTTGACTTCAAAGATTTCCTTTTTTAAAAAAATGAACTGGTGTCCTGTTATTTCCTTGAACACGCCTCTATTATTTTTTGAGTTTTATTATTTAATTACTTTCCATTATTTATTCTCTACTCAATTTAATTAATTATTTAATTGTTCTATTACTCTAATTATTTGTTTATTATCCACTTGATACTATAAGTGATACAAGTATCTAGAACTGCGTTTCTTATATTTGTGATTTATATTCCCAGTTCCTTTATACATACTTGATTTTTTAAAAATAAAAAGCCATAGAGAATGAATTAGAGGTTTCTGTCCAATATCACTGATTGGGACTTCTCATAGTCATTGGGCTGTAAGCTGCTTGAGAGGCATTTCTTTGCACGATGCCTTGACACGCACCAGGTTAAGTGCTTATCAAGTGGTTGTTGACTGTCACCTGTAGACATGGGCTTTGGTTTATCCAGTTGCTATGTTTTAAGGTATTTTGAACCAGAGAAATGAGTCAGATTGGTATTGACGGATCAGCATCAAACAGGCAGCCCTCCGACCCAAATCAGAATAATTGTTTTAACCTAAACACACTGAGGCCAGGTTCTCATAGTTGGGAAGCATTATTCTCTACCTCCTGCAGACCTGACCGAACCCAGCCTTTTAATCCTTTGGTCTAAATAGAACCTAGGGAAAAGAGCAAACAAGACCAAAGAATCATGAAACCAATCCAATTGAATGAGCAAAGAACATGAAAAGCAGTAATATATCATTTACTAGCATCTTTTATGTTGATCCCCAATACACAACCAAAAACTAGAGCATGAACAAAGATATGTATGTATGTATGTATGAATGTATATGTATATATACATATATGTGTGTATACATGTATAGGGGTGTGTATATGCATATATAGGGGTGTGTGTATATATATACAAATATGCATATACATATATGTATATGTGTATGTATGTGTGTGTGTGTGTGTGTGTGTATGTATGTATGTATCTACAAAGCCACAGACTAAAGTTCATGCACTTTACTCATGGAGAGTCACTCAGACCTTCACTCAGAGCCTTTATTCTCTTAATCTAGGCACAGAGCAGATTAGAATCATTGAATGGGGAAAGGGGGTACAACTAAAGTCAGCAAGAAGGTTTCACCAATAGACAAACCTAGTAGCAAAGAAAGTACTCAGATATTGATAAAATCAGATATAAGAAAATTTAAAAATATTTTGCAGTGAACTCATCTATACTGGAAGAGAAAAAAACATCAATTCATCTTGAGGACATGTTATTATTATTGCACATACAATACAATCATTTGTACAATAATATATGAACTTATTGAGAAAAAAGGTATTTTTTTTGTTAGGTTCCCTTTACAAAAATAGAAAATTCATACTGTATTTTATAAATATTTCAATCCATGATTATTAAAATTTGAAAAATAAACTATGAAATTTGAAAGAATCAGCTTTAGTTATATAGAAACTTTATTTGAACTAGCTCATTCCCTATTGGTGCAGATAAATGAGGTGTTACCATATGTCTCTGTCATGGATAGAAGATTAGAAGACCAAGGCTGATTTCACTCCCAGTGCAGATGAATCAAGCTCAATTACTCCTCTGTGTTAGTGTATCTTGGCCTAGTAGAGAAAGGGTCAGAAAGACCTAAGTTTAAATCCTACCTCTGACTTACATTGGTTGTGTGAAGATTGGCAAGGAACTGAACATCTCAGTGTGCCCACGTAGGGAGCATCTAAAAGTATAGATTATGTTTAGGAGGTTGATCTTCATCAAGAACAAGAGTTTATACACGTGGAGTTCCCTGCACAGATAGATTCAGGTGCCACTCTCACTCCCACCCCCACCCCCCCCACACAAGTAAAGCATGTTATCTATATATAGAAAAATATAAATAGGTTTTTCCTTTACCTGTAATCATTAGAATGATAAAGTTAGGTAAGTAAGCTGGCTTGATAATAAACACAGGTTAGACTGGGTCCTGGGATATGCAAAACCAACTTGTTGATTTTAATTGTTGCAAGGCTTTACCAAGTCCTAGACCAGAGGCTAAAATTAGCTTTTTAAGGTTCTATGACTTGACTAGGATTGTGTTGAGGGAAGAAGTGCAGATTTTGATTACTCGAATTTTCTGGACTATACCTCTATTTTTATCCTCAAATTTTGGGAATAATTGTGAGACAGGTGCTTAGGCGGTTTTTTGGACATATGAAGAGAACATAAGGTATGTCTGTGGTGACATTTCTATACTGCCAAGTTTTCCTCTCAGAATTTACTTGGGGGCTTGGGGCTCTGTATTAATAACCACTCACTCCACAGTATCCTTATCAAGCATGTGGTAATCCCAACGGCCTATTAATTGAGCCAACTGTACCACTGCTCAGTGACTTCTGTTGTTTAGAAGCCATTGAAGTAAAACATTGGATTGTATTGATGCCAATCTGCTTTTGGTTTCATACAGGTCTGGGCTTGAACATTATAATGAAAACTATAAAAATCTGCTGTTCTAAATATCATATAAAAACAGTTATTTGGATATTCCCATTCAGCTGGTTGCTGATTTGGGGACTTGTCTACTTAAGTCTCCTCTGGTTCCAGTATTACTCCACTGTCCTTGATTGTTATGATACCTAGGGGTGAAATAGTAAACTTTCTAGATGATTTTATTCCACCGAAGAGGCCATCAGGAAACCAGTTCAATCATCAGTTTTTAGCCGCTGTATATAGAAAACTGTACATATTTGCAGGATTGGGAAAAAGGCATTGAGAAAGTCTGCCTTTAGAAGTCTGTTGCATCTCAGTCAGTCAACAAGTACCTTTTAAACATTCGCTGTGTGCTCAGGGAAAATGGGTAGGTGGTGAGAAGACCAGGAATGATATAAAGATCAACTAATAAAGTGGTGAGTCAGCCAGATGACTTAGTGAATAGAGTGCTGGGCCTGGGATCAGGAAGACCTAAGTTCAAATCCACACTTACTACCTGTGTAGCCCTGAGCAAGTCACTTAACCTGTGTTTGCCTTAATTTCCTGGAGACAGTATAGTCCACGGGGTCACAAAGAGTCAGACACAACTGAACAAATGAACAAAAACAGTAGTGTGCCCATAAGTCCATGTAAATAAATGGACCATACAGGGAGTATATGAATCCTGTGAAAATACACAGTAGAGGAAGAAACAGAGTTAGTATGAATGTGGCTGTGACAGAAGCACAAATATGACCTTGTTTCTGCAAGTCCCTTGAAGAGCCTTGTCCTCTATGACTATTGACATTGAGATCCTCTGTCATTCATGGTTCTCTTCAGATCCCAATAGGAAAACTCTGTTTTTCCTAATCTAGCCTTAGAGAGTGTCCATAGGCACTCAGGAGTTCCAGGGATCCTGGCCAAAGTCCTGACTGCCCCTTTCAAAGCAAGCTTGATTACTCCTCTACCTTATTTCGTTTTACTTTCCTTCACACACACTGGAGTCCAGCCAAAGGAGACTTCTTACTGTTGCTTTGGTATGTCACTCCAGGTCCTGTCTCTCTCTGCCTTTTGCAGGAGCTGTCCTCTAGACCTGTAATGCTCCCTCCACATAGTCATTTTTAAGAATCCCTAGTTTTCTTCAAGGCTCAGCCTAAGTGCCCTTCTCTACAAAACTTTTCCTGATCTCCCCTGCCCCAACTAGGTGGCCCAGAGAGTAGGTGTCTCTGAATTACTATAATATAATTCAGAGATGTTCCAGTATCATTCTTTTATTTAATAGATTTAGTATTTTACTTCCAAAACTTCTTGATTATATATATAGATTTTCTATAAAAGGAAAAAGGGGGACATAGTTATAACAATATAATTTCATAACAGAGGGAAAAACTACCTTAACTGTTTGGTTCTAGGCATGAGTCAGATCTGACAGCCAATCACGTAGTCACAGGGTGTTAAAAGCAAGGCTCAGGATTAACCAGGTGGGGAAATTTCCTTTTCAGCAGGGAAATAGCATAATGGAGAAATAGAGTTACAAGTATCCTACCTAGGCTGTGCCTAGGTCACCCCCAAAACTTTTCCCAGACACTCATCCTTAGCAGTTCCCAGACTGTATGTAGCACATGGCATTTTCTACTATTGGCTTCATGACAATTCAGACAACTATCCTGTAATCAAAGCTCAAAACAATAGTAAAGAACAATCTCGGGAATTTTTACCTTAAACAGCAAAATTTCACTGATCTCGACTTAGGGCTTTGAGTATCTTTCCTGATGTTTCTTAAACATTTCATTAATCCTTATAAATTAAAACTACCCAAATTCTGGGGCTTCAGATATACAGCAGATACCTGATAGTTGACTCATCATTGACATGTTAAAGCAGCATCTTTAAACTACCCTGTACACTTTCATAATAGCCAAAATTTTCAAATTAAAATTTGTTATTATATATCATTATTATCTGCTTCATAGTAAAATATACTTCATTAAGTATTTAGCAGTTTTCCAATACATATTTTTATCATATCCTTTTAAAAGCTGAATTCATGTGTAACAGCATCCAGGTTAAAATGTTGCTTTGTTTAGCAGCATTTCTGTTACAATAGTATCTCAATATAAAAGAATTTATTTATAAGAAAATTTGGAAATACAATATAAGAGAATTTAGAAATACAGTAACACAAACAGTAAATTTTGGTGACACCATCAGTTGCATTTCCAAATTATCCTATATCAAAATCATTGGTCTTATTTCCTTGGACATTTTAAAACCACTTTAGAGTTATTAGGTATGGAATAATTACATTCAGTTAAAAAAATAATATAGTGCTGAGCATATGCCAGTGACTATGTTAAGTACTTTGCAATCATTATCATTTTGATTTTCACAACAATCCTGGGAGGTAGATACCATTATTATTTTTCTCTTCACACATTAGGAAACTGGGGCAGAGATAAGATAACTTGCCTAAGATTACACAATTAATAAATTTTTGTAGCCAGAACAGAAAAGGATGGACTCACCAAGGGCAGAGGCTAGTTCTCTCCCTTGCCCCCCATCACACCGCCAAGGCAGCAGCAGGGCAGGGTCTGCACTGGAGACACTGACTGGGCTTTGGTGGGCACTGGCTGCAGAATGGGAATCCCAAGGGCTAGGGTGGCTGGTCCAAGGATCTTCCCATTGGTGGTAATTCCTGGTGACAGGACAAAGTAGATACTGACCTGGAGGCCTGACCTTCCAACAGCTGCAGCTTTGGGGCCAGGCGCTGCTGGGGCAGGGAGGGCAGGATATACTGCACTTGGGTGATACCCCCAGGCTCGCCTAGAGGGGTGGGCTGCAGGATACTCAGGAGCACAGGCCCTTGGGGCCACTGCCAGTGGGGGATGCCCTGCTGCAGCTACTGCTCCGCACCCCCACCAGGTGAGCCCTGGGCAATGAACTGCACAGCTGGAGGGGCAGAAGGTAATTCAAGTTTTCTTACATTTTTCCAGCATTTTTTTTCAACACCTGTATTTGGGCCTCTGATCTGGGAATGAGAGGGCAATAGGGAAAGGGTCTCCAACCTGGGGGAGTCACAGAGCATCCCTGGTTTAAACAGTCTTTTCTCTTTTCATGATTAGAGGGTTAACAAGAGGTTGCTATAAGGTGCAAACTGTTTACCTAATTTTTTTCCTTTCTTTGCTCTGGTATTACTTCCAAACTAGCTGCCTTCCTTCATTGCCCTAGAACAAGGCTATTAATGATACCATTAATCTTGCCATTCACTTTCAAAACTTTTATAAAATTTAATCCTTTTTTTTCCCCTTAAAACAATTCTACAGAGTGGTACCCTAAAACTTACTAAGATATTTCAGAAGGGAGGGAGTTCCTGGAATTACCCAAAGTCTTAGTACTTCTTCTCTGCAATCTTAAAATGATAAATCTTCAAACTCCTAACTAAATCTGCTAAAATGTTTTTTAGGAGTTCCACAAACTTTGATTTTCTGACCTTATTTCTGTAATTCCAACATAGCCAAAGCTGGAATGACAGGAAGAAATGGTCTGACACTCCTTTCAGTGTACTATGCCACTGACTGTAGCAGTAAAGTTTATAACTGACCTACATGTTATTTGTAAAATAGGTAACTCTCCAAATTGTAATACCTAGTACCTATCTGTAATATCTAATCATGAAAACCTTTTTTCACATTCATATGCCATTTTTACTTTCTTTGCATTCTAGGGATAATCTTGGCCAATGGGAGAAAATAATTAGAGGAGAGGAAAGTCTTATATGGCTTCCAAACCAGACAGGAACTCCAGAGACCTCTAGCTCACTGCCTTTGAAGATTGATCAACAATGATTATTAGTTTTTGCCTGAAAGCTTCATCCTCATCCCTCTCTTTTTTATATTATTTTATTTTATGGAGGGAGCATGAAACAGAAAAAAAAAGCCACACCTGCTAAGTGGGACAACCTTTTCAAGGAAAGTAACATCAAGGAGATATCTCAACGGGATGACTACCTACCAATCTCATCTGTGATGTACTGTAAACAGTGAGAAATGAGGACTACTCATGTTTTGGGATCAGCTGTCCAAGTAAACTCCATATGACTTGCAAAGTGGCCTTTTCTTAGGGGCTTTTGCTGAAGCCTTAATTTAAAACTGAAGAAAATCATACCACGGGGGTACTTTTTAAGCTGTAGCTTTCTAGAGAAGGTTTAAAATGGTACTTTAATTGTATTGTTCTTTGGCAGGCTTTCACAATGATGTTGCTTGGAAGTTCTTGGTTATGAATAGGAATTTTTACACATTACTATGGTGAATGTGTTTATGTGTGATCTACTTATAATCAGTTTGACCTCTAGCAGAAAACCTAAGCACTACAGCTGTCACTGAGGCTCCAATACATGGAGTTTCTTTCTGCAGTCAAAAGTGCAACCAGTTTCCAAGTTCAGAGCTCTAAAACCCATTTTAATCAGTGATTCCAGCTGACTGTTGCATGCCAGGAGTTGCAAGTTAGGAGAGCTTACTTTCGAGATCATCCACTTTCTTTTTTCTAAATACCAAAACTTAGGTAGAACCTTGAACAAAGTCTTATTCACTTCATAGCAAACCTAGAAATAATTTATTTTTCCTTTTTTTTTAAGTGGTACTAGAGAATCAATTCATCTGGCCTTCTCACCTGAAGGTTCAAATTTAGTGGGTGTATTGAGAACAGAAAAAAGAAGGAAAGGGTATAATTTCCAACCAGCTTGCCCTGTTGATCACAAATGTATTCTCTTTTATAGTGAGAGAATCTTTTTTGTAACCAGTTTCACAAATGTCCATTTTCAGACACATTTCCCAACTCAAAAAATACTCGTGCAAATGGTCTCCAAATGCCAGACATTTTTTTAAATTCACCTACTGATTTACTGATAACCAGAACTTTTGATCCACAGCTTGCTTTGCCCATTTGGCAATCTTCCTGTGAGACAATAGTAATGCCCATGTATTTCTATCAACATGTACTCATGGGAGCAACACAGAAGAGCCACAGATACCTGTTTCCTTATTACTACATAACAGTTTTGTAACCAGACTTCCAAGTGGAAAGATCCATAGGTTTTGGTGGCACATTGTTATATAGTCTTTTGTTGAATTGAAAATCACTGTTCATGATGCCAGTTAAGAAAAGAAAGCACAACTCCAAAACACTTTGGACCAGATCTTGTGTGATTTTTGAATAGTTTACTAAGGGGGTATTAGCCAAACACTTTGTGAGTGCTGAGGGACATGAGTTATTAAAGATGCTGAGAAAACAATTAGCACAATGCTACAAGCTGACCCAAAAGGGTCAGCCTGCTTCTAGACCTGACAGGCTTGCTTAAAGTAAGTAACATTCACCTAAAAAGAAATCGGAGTATTTATTTTAATTTAATAAGTTTTAAAATACTCTCTTTATAATATGAATTACACTCACATTTTCATATGTAGAGGAGCTTTGTGTATTAAAAGTGGAAAAACATAACTTTGTAGAAAGACTTAGAAGGTTATTGTGAAAGTAATGAGATGGAGTTCACAAGTTGCCCATGAAAATCTGTCTCATTGCCATATTACTGAGCCACCTCCCCATTTGTTGGTTTCTGAACCTCACTTTCCAATTCTCCAGTCTCCAAGTCTCTCTAGAATTCCCATTCCTAGTTCACCTGTGGAATCTATTTCCCATAAACCAAAGGAAACACAGGAGCACCACTGTGATTACTGTGATTAAAGAAACAAAATTGATGTGTTAAGAAGATGATAAAATCCAATTTATTCTTTGAGAAGAGCTGTTTTAAAATTTATGGGAAATTTATAAAGTCTGAAAAGGGATTGTATCAAAATTGAGAAAAGCCTTAAGTACAAAGAGTATCATGTACATAAGAAAGCTTTGTAACAGCGTCCTACAAGAGGGCTTCACTCCTCCAGGAGTAATTTAGTGATTTTTGTCATCAAGAACCAATATTAACAAAGAAGAATTCCTCAAAGTATTGTATTTGAATTAAAAGCTACTGAAGGAAGCAAGTTGATTGTTATCTCTCAATCTTAGAAAAATTTGGCTATTTCTCTTTCTGACAGTCAATACTGAAAATAGTCTTAATCACTTTGCTGTAGGTAGCACGGGCACTTCTTAGGTAGAGAATCTCATCGGTAGCTATGAAATCTAGATTTGGCTGTTTGTTAGCTGATTCTTTGCAGATACTTTCCCAAGAGATAGAATTTGGCAAAAAACCAAATGATAAATTGAATACTACTTTAGGGCATTCCAGACTACCAAGGTCTCATAGGCTTGTCAAAAAAAATTTTTTTTAACTCAGATACTGTAATATTTGGTTAACATGTTTTGGAAAAAAAGCAGTCCAGGGGTGTTTTCATGCTTTGCCAGATGTTGTCCCAGTACTTAACAGGCAGGCTTGCTGATCTGTGTTTCCCATCTTTCTCTCAGCTCTTAAAGGGCATTGCAATGCCTGTAGCCAGCCAGATGCCTTTTATTACCAGAAGTTTTGATGTGCTTCTCTGTAGAGGAATACTTTCTATTTGGCCAATTTTCCCTTGTGGAATTAAGGACATTATTAAGGACATAGCTGTGGATATATGGAGTGTTTCAAAGCTTGCAGAAAATTATATTGATTATGATGAGGTATAAATCAAGCAGTTTTCTTGTCACATAGAATGTATCTCATACTATTTTTCCAGGTGTTGTAAAATTTATGGGTATCCATGCCAACTTCAAATATTAAAGTCAGACAGAAGGAAACCCTAAACTGAAAGAGAGCAACATTAGCAATTAGCCTTTGAGAGAGAAACCAGGATGAATTAAATGTTTGCTCTAAAAGAAAATGGAGCGTTTTCTGAGTAACAATTGCTAAACTGCCTTATTCATCAACAGCACAAAACAAAACAAAAAAAAAAACCAATTGATTGTGATCCCTGGGCCCAGTACAGTTTGACTTTACCTTTGAAAATCCGAACCCACTTCTCTTCTTCATCTCTACCTACTTGTCTAGCCCTGCCATTAGTCTTCCACTCCAAATGAAAAGGGAAAAAAAATGTTTCTATGAATTATTTCTACAGCCAGTGCCAGAGCTGCAAAAAATCACAATGAACTTGAAGCTAGATTTTTGTTGGAAAATGCCATGCATTCTTTGGGATATTTTTAATTTGAAATAACCAGGTCCTAATGTAGTTTAAAAGCCACACTCAAGCACATTCAGCACGCTGGTGCATAATATTGATATTTGGTTATCATACCATCCAAAGCATGTTAAAGAAAGCTTTTTCAGCAGGGTCTGTATAGATTTGTGTTTGCATATTTTCTGAAGTGATCTTACTTGTTATTAAGAGTCCTAATAGGGCCAGACTGTTCATTCATACTGCTCTCCCCATTCTCCCCTCCCCCCCCAAAAAGCATAACTCACAACTCTTCCCTACAACTTTACATATTCATTATGAATGAATGAAAAAGTATTTATAAACTAATTTGTCAAGAACTGTGCTTAGCTGGCTGGGGAATGCAAATAGAAATAAATAGTCTCTTCTCTCTAGGAGCCTATACTTTAATTGGAGAAAATAGCACAGAAAAGATTGTGAGTTTGTAGAGAGATAAAAAAGCCAGGACGTCCTATGGGTACAGTAGTGAGGGCGATGTCCAGGTCTAGGGTTCCTTAGACCACATATGTAGGTCCGATACTACTTCCCAGGGTCTGTAGGGCATAGATGGTAAGAGATGCAGGAACTTAGGGAATAGTAACACAGTAATAGGTGTTATAAAGCCTGCTGGTGTTCCATCTCATCAGGAGGAAGACAGCATTGAACACTCATCTCACCCATAAGCTGCCACAGCCCATCCAAAGAAACTGTGTTCAACACTAACAAAAGCTTTTTAACGGGATAAAAATGGTTGTTTCATGAATAGGGTGATTCTCTTAATAGTCTTTTATTTAACTTCAAACATTCCTGTATATCACTTATGATTGTAAACAGTGGACTGGAGGCTATTCAGACTGAGTAAATTACGCAGAACTGTGACTTTAATTAAGATGTGATCTTGTTGGGTTTCAGGTGTGCACATAAACATTAAGTTCTGAAAATCTTATATTTCAAATGCAGACACTTCTACTCCATTCTGTTTGCTGACTAATGCTTTTCCTTTATTCACAGGCTAGATATGTGACATATATTGCAAGTTATTAGCCTGACCTAACATCATTGTAAGATGCAGATTAGCTGGAATGTGCCATCACTTGTGATTTTGAGAAGTTTGGTCATAGGAGGAGGTTGTGTTATGTTTACATTCTCACAAGTATTACTTTTATTCATAAAGTACTTTTCCACTGATGTCTTTTAACACGTTAGTCTGAGAGTAGTACTGTTGACAACCGATGCAGGATAGCCTTCACATTCATACTTGATATCCAGGTTCTGTGAATTGCTAAATGTATTAGGGAGATGAAAGTTGTTGCACTATGATAAAAAAATGAATTTTTTGAAAATGAATTTTTATGATTCTAAATTAAGTATATCAAGGAAGTAAACCTTTGGGTGGGTGGAACAAAAAGACACTGGCTTTCCCACAAATATTGTTTGAACAATTGGTTGTTTTAAATTCCCACATAGCATTATTTTCATTCAAGTTCTAATGTTCTTTTCTCCTCTAAATCCACAATGACAAAGAAAACGTTGTAATGTGTATTTGAGAGTTCTTTTTACCCCACAAGTGGTAGAAAACTGGCATCCAAAAGCACATTACACTCAATTCAGCTGGTACACTGTGTTTACTGAAACTAACGCTGAAAGGGAAACACAGAAGCTGAATTTGAAGAGATTTTGGAGGAATTTGAAGAGAAGATGATATTACATGTCAGTTTTCAGCTGATATAATTAAATTGTATATTTATAGAAGCCTAATTGGAGGGATTTTGTTCCAGTTGTAAGCTAAAATGTTAAAATATGTGTTATTTACATACTCTAGTAAGCTTGTTCTAAAACATCATGTTAATTATATCATGGCATATGGCACTGTAACATTTATTTCTTCTTGAGGCACCATGATACAAAGTGCTGTGAGATGTCTAAATATCCTTTTTGTGTATCCCATCAGACATTTGAAGCTTATTTTTCCTTATGTGTGTGGACTGTTCTATACGTAAACTCCTTTACTTAGTTACTCAGCCAGATTAAGTAAAAATGTTCTGTAATTTGTTCTATAGAAGCCATTTCTACACAAGACCCTCACTTGCTCACCAGACCTGTCCACTGAAAATAATGCCCTTGCCTAAAACACTGTGATATAGTTACCATGATGTGCAGTGATACAGTACATTCATTCTGTCTGGAGACAGAAAATTGCCACCCCTGTCCAAATGAATCCTCAGCCAGAATTGAGAGTCCCTATCCCAACCTAGCAAAGTAGATCACAACCTGCTGGTGGTGGTCTACATGCTGACCAAAAACTGTGCATGGATGTCAAATTGGGTATGTGAGGCATCAAAATAGAGAGATGAATAAAAAACTATTTGGTGTGGTAGATTGATCTGTTTCTGAAGGTCTGTTGGGCTAGTCTATCAAGGAGAAAGAACCTTAAGGTAACAACATCCAGTTTTACTACAGTTCATAACTTAATGAGCTAAAAATGATTTTCTATGTATGACACAAAGAAATCTTTGTACAAAAATATGCACAGTGCAATAATTTAAAAAGGTCTTAACTTTGCATTTATAAATTATAAATATTGTACATGGTGTGTAATTTTTCATGTATTCATTTGCAGTCTTTGTATTTAAAAGAATCCTTTATTGTTATGTTTGTATAATAGAACAGTAATCATTTATTATGATCTAGGCAAGTTGTAAATAAATTCATAAACCAAACTGCCAGTATGTATGCATATATGGGAGTCCTGTTGGGAACCTATCTTTGTTTTACCTACTGGCCTAAAGCAGCAAGAAATCTTTGTGGATATGTAATTATACATATAAAGTATATATACATATATATATATATATATACATATGTATGATACATAAAATATATTTAGAAATGTTCATAATTTTAATGACTATATTCTTTGGTGTGAATATTACTGAATGAATACAGAGTTTTTTAAATATCATTTTTCATGTCCATCTTTTGCTCTCAATGGCGGGGGAAAGATTATAGAGACTTTGTATAAATTTGTATTGATTAGAGGGGAAAAGGAGAAAATGGTAAGTTTGTTGCTTAATGACAAGTTAACATTTAGTCTACATGTATTCTCCCTAATCATTTATTGATTTTTTTTAAGGAGAAACCTTAAGCATCCTTATTGTTGTAACTTATATTTATATATCACTTTCAAAAGTATTTTCACCTCCATTATCTCATTTAATCCCTTTAACTGCCCTCAGAGATCCAAGTACTATAGCCCTTATTTCACCCAGGAGAAAACTGAACAGTAGAGGCAAAAGGGGCCCATGGCTTTTAAATGGCCTAGTTTGGACTTGTAGGTCCTGGGCCAATGCTGTTTGCCTTTTCTGGTGTCGGTTCTTTGAAGTGCTAGGTCCTGGAAAGTGAATGAGCTACTCTTCAGGTGACTTGGAAAGTGTAGAGCCTGATTTAGCCAAGTAGGATTGTTATTCCTTGCATTATCATTGCAGAATTACAGTTAATGCAGCTCTCTAAGTGCCTGATCCCATTTAGGAAGTCAGTAATTGACTCATTTGGCAAACCCTAGCCCATTCAATAATCCATTGAAATAAATCATTTTGTAACTGGTAGGCGTTAAATTAATTTCATTGTGTAAGGAAACAAACAATTATAGAAGGAATGAAAGCATAGCATTTCTTCATCCATATTAAAGGGAAGTTTTAGACCAAAAACTCTTTGTGGACGAAGGAACACAGTATCTGTACTGACTTTCCTTAAAGATTTTGCTCGGGTGAGCAGCCTCCTGCACCAAGTAGCAACATCTGCAGTGAAGTCTGTTTTCTAACCTAAAAAGGATGGGGAACAATTTAACTTTGTCATGTGAGTACTCTTTTCAGCAAGTATTAAAAACAGAAATATTTGTTGTCATGAAGATGTATTCCAAGCATGAGTTACTAGGGTTGTAAAGTACAGAAGTACTCCTATGTGACCTTAATAAACAGTGCACATGGGGGGCAGCTAGGTGGCGCAGTGGATAGAGCACCGGCCCTGAAGTCAGGAGTACCTGAGTTCAAATCCAGCCTCAGACCAAACACTTGACACTTACTAGCTGTGTGACCCTTGGGCAAGTCACTTAACCCCAACTGCCTAAAAAAATAGTGCACAGGCTTTGGAGACTCTCAGGGGTCTATCAATCAAATATTCAGGAGGAAAAAGGCCACTTTTATTATTAAACGTAAATCGATACAACTTTATTAATTAGGGAGAAATGTAGGTAACTTACAACGACTACCTTTTTAGCCAGTTAATATTGAGTGTACTTAGTATAAAACACAGCACCAGGCACTTAACATATATCTCATAAGATCTCTCCCCTTTAAGAACATACAAGACATTGAAGTTTTCTTGTTAAGTACACATTTCATTTATAAGGCTGAATAAAATGTTTCCTGTTTGTGAGTATTTAGAGAGAAAACCAACTCAGTTTGTAAACGAATTTGCAATCAGAGGACTTGGGTTCAATTCCGTGGCCCCTGTGACTATGTTAAATCACTTAAGTTCTCTGGCCTTCACTTTCCCTTCTCTTTAAAATGAGTGACTTAGACTTGTTTGCCTTTGAAGCTTCCTCTCAGCTTTAATTCCTGTGATTGAAGATTATCATAAGAACAAAGTTCAAGACTGGGACACTGTGTAAAGTCTAAGAGTCTTACTCTGTATCTCAACACTGAGGTTTCTCCTCTTTGTGTAGATCCTGATCTTGCTCAGGATTAAGGAGGCAGAGTAAGGCTTTGCATCAACACCTGCCAGTGAGTGAGGAGGAGTAGCAGTTGCTGAGAAGGGAGCTACCCAGTGGAAAATAGGAAATAATGATACCGTAGACTTGAACTTACAGTCAAAAGTTAGATCACTTTTTCATCTTTGATTTGTTTTTGAAATTTCTGCTTCTTAATTCATCTAGAATAACTGAAAGATGAGGAGAAATTACACAAAAACCTTGCAGACCTAGGAAACACAAAGCATGATATGCAAATGAAGAAAAGACAAATAGGATATGGCAGCCATAGTAAAAGTAAACTTCAGTGTTGATAAACTGGATTCTTTAAAAAAAAAAAGTGGATTTTAGGGATGTATGTTTAAAGCCAAGTTAAAATGGAGGGTATGGATACCATGAGGTCAGTATACATTCAGTCCTTCCACCTCTACAATTCTACAAGATAAGAATTCATTCTATTCAATGTGATGACGATGAGACCATTCAGCATCCTCAGCCCTCCAGTGACTATTCAGTTTTGTTCAGAATACTACATATGACTAAGGTAGAAATGTAGACTGCTACTGTTGGATTTTCCACAAGAATCGAATTTTATTTTTGTAACTGCTTTCTGGTTAGCTTTGAACGTTTCCCCCAGTTAATTTATGATTCATCATGGAAACAGCTTGAAAAGACTTTAGAGGTCATCTGGTCTGATCTCCTCAAATATTGTCTCAAATGAGATAATTTTTGTATTGAAATAGTATTTGTAAAGCATTTAGCACAGTTTCTGGCACATAATAGGCCCTGGATATCTGCTAGACCATCTTTCACTCTAGTACTGAGGCCAAATCCACCATTAATTATCACAACCGTCTGCCCCAGTTCTGCCTTCTACTGTAGCAAAACAAGAAGGCTACTCTTCTCCACAAAAATCCCAACATTTTTAGATTGCTTTGTATGCTTCCTTTTACATTCTATTTTGGGCTAAGTATCTCCTATTTTCGGTTTCTTCAATGTTTCTTTTCCTGGAGTGCTGTCCAGACTTCTTGATTTCCTGATTTAACATCCTTCTAGATGTGTTCTACATCTTGTGTCTTGAATGCAGCAGAATTTTGCACCATTCTTCAAAGGTACTCAGCAGAGTAATTGTGAGAAGCAGTATAGGAACTTTTGTTTTCTATGTTCTAGGTAATATCCACAAATGGGAGTTTTCATTCTGTCAGTGAAAAGGCAGGGCTGGTTTTGGTATTCTTGTGGAATGTTTAAAATATTTTCCTAGTCTAGGCATGAAAAAGGACTAACTGAATCCTTTAAAATTAACACTCTGAAAAGGGAGACATTTGCATCTATTTAGGACAACCTACTTAGGCTATCAAATTAGCACTGTGAACTGGCTGAGTTCTAAAGAACCATTTTCAAGTTATCTCCTTATAAAAATGAGGTGAAATTGATTGATTCGGTTCTATTCTTCTGTTAGTGCCATAGAGGAAAGAAAAGTGTCTTGGTTGGTTTTTTTTAGATTTGCTCTCACTATAAAACTGACTGATCATTCAGGAATAAAACCCGAAAAGAAAGTCGTCATCTTATTATTGTCACAGGGAGCAGTAACCATGTAATTCCATTGAACAGAAGTTAACATATTTGTAATGACTGGATTATTAAGAATGAATAACAGGAAAAACTACACAATTGTCAACAAATATATACATTTGAATGAAACCTACTCTTCAACTGGTTTTAGAGAATAGGATGCACCTCAAAAATGAGCTATAGTGCAGGGGCTCTTAGTACTTGTATTTGTGTTTCAAGGTGCTGAGATTGTGCCGGAGAGGTATTTAAATATAGTAATAAAGCTGTATCTTTCATTTGAAAATTGCTGGGATGTTATGGAAGAACTTTGTTGTCTTTTTCTTTTTTTAAGGTCCCCTGAGTTCCACTCACATGGAATTAAAAAACAATGTTTTCTAAAACTAACTTTGTTGTGTATTTAAAAATAAATATAACTTTTGTGGAAAAGGTAATCTCTTGTGTTATTTTGAGTACCAACTAAATAAATATGAGCAATTGAATACACCTACTTGGCTTGTGTACAGATTAATTTTTGAGGGAAGAACATCAGTGCCAATAGCACTACATTTTAGCCCTGGTGTGATGTTAGTCATAGTTGTGTTAGTAATGGTGGTGGTGGTGGTGGTGGTAGCTAGTACTTACGTAACATTTTGATGTTTGAGAAAGCCCTTGTGTTACTTTATTTCATTCTTGTAATGACATTAATAGCTGACATTTTATATAATGCTTAAAGGTTTACAAAACATTTGATATATCTTATCTCATTATGTACTCACAATATTCCTATAGGGTAGGTACTGTTATCCCCATTTTACAGGTGAAGAAATAGGCCCAGAAAGGTTAAGTGACCTGTCTAGAGTTAACACAGTAAATGGTTGAGGTAGGATTTACACTCAGAGCTTCCTGATTGCAAGTCCAGCACACAATCAATGATACCACCTCACTGCCAACCCTGTGAGGTATGTGCTATTATTATTTTCCTTATTTTGTAGATGAGGAAACTAAGGTTTACAGGTTAAGAGGCTTTATACTCAAATCTTCTTGATTCCAAGTCCAGAAACTCTATCCACTATTACTATTTTTAAAATAAATTGAATGAGGTCTTTCTTAACATTTGACTTGAATTCTTCCTGTTTTTCCCTAAAGAAGAGCATTTTTTAAATGGAAAGAATGCTTTCCTTTTACTGTGTCATGTTACCAGGAAAATACCTCCTAGTAAGAAAAAAAAATTCACTTCTTTTCTTGGGGTTTGTGTGTCTTGCTCTAATAAAAATCGGTTTGTTTTGCTTTGTTTTTCCATTTTCTTTTCTACAGAGAGGAGCCAGGGATTTGTGAGAGTTAACTTCATTGTGGCCAAGCCTGCTTTCACAATGCGAGAGACCTTTCACTAAATAAATAAATTAATAAGTAAATAAATAAATAATCCTTCAGCTTTATTTGCAACAAATATAAATGGAGAAAGAACAGAAAACTCTCAATAAGTTTACAGGCTCGATGTTTTTCTATTTCTGGCACACTGATATAAAAACATTTCTGGACATTCAAAAAGATGCCATGAAGATTCGTAAAAGCCAAACAAAACGAGGCATGCAAAGGCCAAATTACAACTGCAACATTTGGTTTTAGTCTGTAGAAGGTGGCAGTAAGAACTCATTAAGAATTGATTTTGAATGAGCCTTTCTGGAAGGTGTGATTGAAAAGCACTTACCTGTAAACATTTTGGTATGAAAAACGTGGTATTTCTACTTTTTTCCCCAAGAGCAAACATAAAATGGATTTTTAGTAATATTTTTAGATTTTTTAAAGTAAATTTTTAGATTTAAGGCTGGAAAGGACCTTAAAGGTCATCTGCTTCAACCCCTCATTTTACATCTGAGGAAACAAAGGCATGGAGGTCATTCAGCTAGCAAATCACAGGGTCAAGAGTTCAGATCCTCTGTGACACTGATCCTCTGTCCTTCCCTACCTCAAGAGAAGGAGTTGATACTCCTGAGTGACACTCAGAGGTCCAGCCTATTACAAACTAACTCCAAAAAGAAATCCCCTCTTTAACATTCAACATTCAAGACCTTCAGTGAAAAGAAACCCCCTCTGTCTTGAGGAAGGCCAGTTCACCTGTGCACCGCTAATAATCTGATAGCTAGAAAAATTTTCCTTGCAGTGAGCTAAGATTTGTGCCTTAGTTAACATACAACCCCAGTCCCTAGTTCTGCCTTCTGGGCACAAGCAGGTTCAGTTTGAACTCTCATTCAAATGAAGATGTAGCCAGTTTCTTATTTCTTTATTAGTGTCAGTAGCATCAGAATAGTGCGTCCTGCCATTGAACTGGCCTTTTACCTTGCTCCAATCAAGAAGAATCACTTCACTCTCTGTAACTGAAACAGACACTACAGTGACTTTTGACAGGGATGTAGATGCCTAAACATGTCTGTCTCTGCTATCAGGGCTTTTAGTGAAGGAGTGTGCAATGTGGGACTGATCTTTTGTTTGTTTTTTACTAACTAGTATTCAGATGAGGTCTAAGAAGTGATTAAGTATGTATTGGATTGATTTGTTATTTTTACTATAGAACATGTGGGATTTTGCAAAAAGTCATTAAGAAGCCATCAGTTTGTGGAAACAAAATCACTAATCTGCATATCAAAATCAAAAACTAAAAGCAACTTGTCAAGGAGGCATTTTATGCTTTTCTGACTTGAAAGAGTTAATTCCTAAATCATCTTCCTAGGACATCATGATAACATAAAAGCTACCTCTGAAAGTTCCGTTGCTGGGTTTCACATCATCACTCTTTCTAGAAAGCAATACCTAAAAGCCCCATGTATCTTCTCAATTTTTCTTTCTACATTTTTTAAATGCTAGCTTTAATAGCTTACAACTCCAATAAGGCTTTTGATACATTCGGTATATTTCTCTACTTTCAAGGATTGAGCTATTGAGCTTCCCTATATCTTTCTATCTCATTTCAATGTTATTTATAAGAAATCTTCAAGCTCAAACCAATAATGGCTTTGGGATTATAACATGGAATGAGGAAAAAGGGCATTCAAAACTTGTATGTAAAAATCTCAGCCTTCCTAACATATTTGAACAGTTCCTTCAACTAAAGCTATTGATAACTGCTTCTTTTCTTAACATTTGGAACTGTTTAGGAATTGTAATCATTTCTAATAGGAAGTATCCTCAAAACTCAAAATGTTGTCAAAAAAAATAAGTGTCAGAATAAATGGACTCATTAAAAATCTCATTTTTTCCAACTCAATCAACTTTTTATAGTTCATTATTTGAATGGATCCATTATCTCACCAATAAGGCAATACCTCCTTTGGTGCACATCATCCCCCATGTTTTTACCAAGGGAACATGGAGGCTTGCCAATTTATATCCCTCATTCTCTTCATAGGGCTCACCTACCTCATTTTCCAAGCATACATCTTTTGAATATTGTCATTTATGCCACTTTATGCGTACAGTTCATCTTTGATAATATGCTATAGACTATTTATGCCCACCATATGTCTGTTTTCCATTGGTTGACCCATAATTTTGATTCATCAGAGATTGTAGGATTACAGATTATGAAGCCATACATCATCACTGGAATAATACTGATATTAAAAAAGATAAATTTGTATTTTCAGGGCAAGGCTTGGGTGTCATTGAAAATTCTGCCCCATTTTCCAGACATAATGCAACCCACTCTCTTCACCCTATTCAGTTTTGGATTCAATTCACTGCTCAAATCTAAACATTCACCCAACAAATAAATAAATAAATGAATGAATGAATGAATGAATAAATAAATAAACAAACAAACAAACAAAAGGTTCTGATGAACAAGCTCAGTGTACAATTGGTCTGATTTATATATTAATCTGGAAAATTGGTATGCTTCATCTGTTTGGTTTTTCTCACGTGTATTATAAAATTGATGTCATTTGAGTAGTTGTGAATCTTGCGTAAGTACTCCTATATTGTTCTGAGGTTTAATGAAATCAGCATAACATTATCGGCAAACAGCATCTGGAAGACTTCACAATCTGAATACTTATTTTTTTTTGTGTCAGAAATTCCCTTTTGCAGTCTGATGAAACTTATAGATCCCTTCCCAGAATAATATTTTTAAAGGTACAAAACCAAAACCAATTACAATGAAATATAGTTACTAAAATGTTTGTACAAACAAACTCATGGACCCCAGATTAAGAACCCCTGATCCATAGGAAATCCCTTTTTCTATTTGGTCTCTTAAGGTGAAAATGTTTCATGGCAGTGTTGAACACTGTGAACTCATATTAAGCTTGTAACTGAGAACTGAATTAAGAAATCCAGCTGTGGTATGGCCAGGGCCCAGTAGAACTGTCATCTTCCTTATTCTATACTATATTAGCAGTGCAGCATACTATTTTGTTTCCTCTTTTAGCTTCTTTAACATACTATCAACCCTCACTGAGTTAAACATAGATACGCACAGAAAAGTATCCATCCACCTATCGTGTTCTGATCACTTGGGTCAATACAAAGATCAATTGCTAGCTCTTTGAGAAAAGTCTCTAAGATAGTAAATGCCATTTGCTTCTTTCAGTTTTCAGCTGAACTTTTTAAAGTGTGTTAAAGCACCATCTAGAGTTGAAAAGTGAAAATGGCATGTAGTATAAAAATAAATCCTATTTGGTAAGTCATTCTTTTTTTATTCCAAATTTAGAAAACACCAAATAAAATAACTATTTGCATATATGTACTAGTAGGAAAAAAAGAAAGTGGTACAAGCAACTGCAAATCTTATTGCACAAAGCTTTTTTTCTTTGAAATATATATAATGAACTCATAATTTTGAAAGCTAATTTGGTTATTTGTGATTCCTTCTAGTCTTGCTTCTCTTTTCTTCTATGCTTTTAAAATGATTCAATGGTTCTCTTTCATTTCTTTAATCTTTTTTTTTTTTCTTTGGGGGGGAGGAGGTTTTCCTATATCTAATGATCCTCTCCTCCCTAAAATTGAAAAATGAAGTAATAAAAACATATAGGCAAGCAAAATTCTACATATTCCGCACAGAAAAAAAACAAAACACTTTGCATCTTGGATCCATCACCTTGTTAGGAGCTGGATAACATTGCTAATCAGTCCTCAGGAATCATGGTTGGTCATTATATTGATCAGAGTTTTTAAATCTTACAAAGTTATTTTGTTTTGGTTTGGTTTTTTTGTAAAATATGATACAATGTTCTCACCTGAGAAGGTGGGGATAAGGGAGAGCTATAGGAAATTTGAGGAGGGAGGAAAAGATTTGGAAAAGCCTCTGTAGAGTGGGATAGTAAGCTGACAAGGAAGGTATAGTAGGATTGCCTAGCAGCAATAAGGGCCCGGTTGAGGTTCTGTAACAAAATTTTTATGGACTCAATCAGAACTGTTGGGTGATTTTTTCCCCACCTTCATTGACCATTATCTGTGTAGGAGCAAAGGCAATGAATAGTGGAAGTGATCGAAGTTTAAGGCTTGGCTAGGTGTAAACATGATAAGGAGGCCAAGGATTCAAGAAAGGAAGACAGTGTAGATTTGAATTAGTTCACCAAGGAGTCAAAATGGGGAGAAGAAAAGAGAGCACCTCATGCAAGGGAGTTGGCCTGGGAAAGAATTGAGGGATGAAATGAATGATTGGAGGTCATGGTATTGATGAAGTGAGAGTTATGTAAAGGAAGGCAGAAAGAAAGGGGGAAAGCCAGTAGATTATGGTTGGATAGGGGTATTTCAGAATTCTTGAACATGGAGGTGGTAAATTTGCAGGTGTTGGCAAGGTCAAGGGTATGACCATATTTGTGTGTGGCTAAGGTAGGATGGAGAAGTAGCTCGTGAGAGGTAAATAGGTTGAAGAACTGAATGGTTAGGGTATTCATGGTTTTCAGAAAAAGCTAGTGGATAGAAGGAGGAATGGAATAGATTTAAGATAAAGGAAGATGCTTATGAAACAAGCATTCCAGAGGGTACAGTGGAAGGGCTGGGTCAAGTTAGAATGAAACTTTGGGATAGGAGGGTTGAGGAGGATGCGAATGAGAAATCAGGTGCTAGGCAGAAAGGAGTGGGGTTTAGATGACGGTCTACAGGCATTCAGAGCCACTGGGATGTGAAGGGTATGACCAGGTGTGAGAATGTTCATTACTGAGTGGAGAGCAGCATTCCTGTACCATCGAAAGATAGGCGAGCAGGAAATGGGAGGTCTAAAGTTAAAGGGAGGATCACTCTTTGCACTGTAGGTTCTTCACATGTCAGTTAGGAGACTGGGCTGGCAACAGGAGGTAGAAGATGCCTTGTGTTGGTACAGATGGAAATGGTTGTGTGGGTCAGAAGATGCCCAGCCTGGACCCAAGCAGCTTTCCCCCAGGGAAGATGCGGCACAAAGCATGGAAGATGCGGCACAAAGCACGCGATGGAAGGCTCAGAGTGCTAGTGTACCTGCAGTCTGCGATCATCTCACCTGAGAGGCTGCCTGTGAGACATCAACAAAAAGCAGTAGACTCTATTAAAGCACTCAGCACAGTGCCTGGCACGTAGTAAATACTGTATAAAGGTAAGTTGTCATGGTTATGGATTGTGCTGAGTGTAAATCTTCTGTAACACCCTGGGCGTGTGGTTTCCCAGGTGCTGCGCTGGTTCTTTCTCCTCCTGTGCTCCTATTGTGTCTGCCTTAGGCTTTCCTGAGCGCTGGTCAAATCCAGTCTCCTGCTATGGTTCTTCACTGCCTCTACCTTTTTCCTCCTGCCTCCTCTGATTTGTCTCTACTCAGAGCCTCTACAGACTTCTGGCCCTCTCTTTGTGCAGTCCTGAACTGGATGGAAGAGTTTACACCTTTTTATCTTCAATTTCACCATTCTTACTTTAAATGCTTTTAAAGAGATTTACCAGGGTGTTTGGAAGATGTCTGAACTCTCTTTGTTCCTAAGACCTGTGTGCCATTAACTTTCCACTATTCCTTGGTAGTTACTCTCAAAGGCTGAGGATGTACTGGAAGAACCTGAGAGAATATCTAGTTAAAACTTTAATTTTTTCCATAGACAAAAAAAAAGACTAAAGCCATTAAAAGTTAACTAATTTGTCAGAGGTCAGTTTGTGAAAGAGCCAGAATTAGCCTCCCGGTCTGCTGTGGGTGATTGCAAAGTTCTTCCCACTACAGGTCCCTAGAATGTTTGAGCTGTAAGAGATTTCATTTCCGCATTTTATAGATAACAAAACTGAGACCCAGAGACATAAAAATGATTATTCAAGGTAGTATTTCTAATTTAAACAGTTCAAAAATAGTGGGCTGCTTTGAAAAATTAGTGGTTTCCTCTAGGTTTTCAAATGATAGCTAAATGGCCATTTATGGTTGATATATTCTCTTTCAGGTATAAGTGGGATTAGATGGTCTCTGTGGTTCCTTGGACCACTGGGATGCTGTAAGTGATAGGTTGGTCCTCAGTCAAAATTTTGTGTTGTTAACATAACCAACTTGGCTATGTTATTTAATCTGGACCTGTGATTTCGTTGGGGGAAAGTGTATGAATACTCTCTCTCCCAATGCAGATGGGCAACTGTTGTAATGTGACCTTAGAAAGTTGCTGGGAACACTGCAAAGTGAGCATGGTTATATAACTTGTATGCTTAGAGTCTTCTGACTCCAAAACTAGCTTTTAATCCATTTCACCCTACTGCCTTTCCATTGCTTGTTAATCTTTACAAATTATCCAGAAGAGCTTTGGCTCATGGCAGATCTTGATGTTTCTTGTGCCAATATAAATTCACTACATTGGCAAAATTATAATTAAAACTAATTTTACTCTTGTAAAGTTTTTTTTTAGCAAAATAGTGAGAAATGGGAGACTTGAAAAAGGATTTTAGGAACCCAAAATGGATTAGAATGTAGACTTTGTGATATTTTAAGTTGTGTGTGGTTTTTTTAAAGCATTGTTTGATTTAGTTGGAAAAGTAATGTCATACAACAATGCCATCTGTAAACCTGTAGACCTGGGCACAGATGGATCGTTTCATTTTCATTCCCAGCTCGGTTGTCAGGGCCAAGGCAAGGCCCTTTCATGGGCAAATAAGCCAAAGGCATTTTATGCCAATGAGCAGGTATGAGAGAAGCCATATGCTGACACTTTGAGCTAAAAATTGGCATCAGACATCATAAATTCTAATTGCTGGCACGTCATCACACTCTCCGATGCCTTATTTTCTCCATCTTTGAAATGAGAATGGAAAACTACTACATATCATCTGTTTACATGAATAACATTATTCATTTAGAACTGGAAAAGACCTTAGTGACCATCCTGTTCAATTTCCTCATTTTGAAAGATACCTGCTGTAGAATCATGCCTCCACGAATTACTAGTTGTTTGATCAGAGGTAAGTCACTTACCCTCTCTAAATCTGTTTCCTTATCTTTAAAATGAGAATAATAATTCAAGTCAACAAGTGCCTACTTTGGGTGAGGCACTGTGCTGGGCACTGGAGATACAGAAAAAAGAAAAAAAATTATTCCTAGTCCTTGTTGCAAGGACCTTGCATTCTACTGAATAAATAGAAAGTAGTAACAAAACACAAAGTAATTTTCTAAGACAGGGCAGGACTAAAAACCAAGGGATCAGGAAGGAGTTCAGAGTAGAGGTGATGGAGCTAGACCTTCCAAGAGGCAGAGATGAGGAAGATCATTCCTTCTAGATAGCAGGGAAAACTTGTACAGAGGCAAAGAGGTGAGCTAGAAGACCTGTAATGACCCAGATGAGAGCAGGTAAAAAGAGCACTTTGCAAACATTGAGTCATTATGTAAATGGAAAGTACTATTATTTTGTAGTTAAAGAAACAAAGACCCAGAGGAAGGAAGTAATTTGTCCGAAGTTATCTAAGGGACAGGATCAGGTATTGAACTTAACATCTTCCAGGTTTAAAGCCAATACTCTTTCTGCTGTACTTTGATGTCCTCTACTGAACAGAGTGTGAAAGCTATAATGCATGTTACAATCTATGTGACTCATTAAATCCCTAAGTAAATGGAAATATCACTTCCCTTTTTGAATTCTGAGCCTGAAGGCTCAGTGCTCAAGGTCAAATAGAAGATCATAGATTTAAGCGTTAGAGCTCTAAGCTCTTATTTTAGACAGAGGTTAAGTGACTTGTCCATGGTCACATCCACTATAGTCAAAAATGGAGCTCCTGAATTGAAATCCTTTCATTAAACATCCAGAATTATTTTCTCAAGTGAGAATTTTGACTTAACCTCTTTGGTCTTGATTCATCATCAACAAATGGTGTGATGCCCAAGGACAATTTTTCTTGGGTGTTAATAGAACTGAAAATGATGCCCCTAATTTTATGTGGAAATTTTTTCACATTTATGCCTTTTCTTTTCTTTTCTTTTCTTTTTTCTTTTTCTTTTTCTTTTTTGCATTGCTCTTCAAAATTAAGGGAAAGAAGAAATGATCAGTTTCTGATAGAATCTTTTCTGAGATAAAATGTTCAGAATGGGGTAGCATTGACAAGCCTGTTCATATTTTAGCATATGCAAATTTAGAATGCCTGGTAACTGGTTGGTGGGGATTGGAATGTAAACAAATCATATAACTTACTGGTAATTCCTACCTCTACCATTTGCTAACTATTAATGGTGGGAAAATCATAAATGGCTTGCATTTCATCTGCAAAATGATGGGGTGAACTGGATGACCTCACAGGTCCCTTCCAGCTCTCAACTTAACATCATGAGAACTGTGATTTGTAACAGGAAGCTTTCTTCTTCTCTACTTCCTGCTCTCTGCTCCCACCCCCTGCCATTTCCACCATTTAATATTCATGCTCATTTTTCAAAGTTCAGCTCAAATGCAACCTCCTGTGGTAGAAGACTGAGATCTTTCCTGATGGCTATTGTTTACTTCTATGTCCCTTCACAGTGCTTCATATTCTTCTTACTAATTTATATCAGCCTAATTTGAATTACATTTTTATACATGCATTGTCCTTCCCTACCTATTTGTAGGAAGTGGGAAAGGCGCAGGCTGTGGGATCCAGAGGACCTGGATTAAAATTCCATGCCTTATATTGTCTGTGTGATCTTGGGCAAGTCATCTACCTTCCCTGGGCCTCAGATTCCTCATCTGAATTGTAGAATTAATTAAATATAGAATTAAGGGTGTTGATCTAAATTGCTTCTGATCTATGATCTTATATCTTAGCTCCTTAAGAGCTGTTGGGCATGCTTCATCTTTGTGTTTCCCTCATCATTCCACAGAGTTGTTTAATACATGTCTATCAAATGAATGTTGAAGGAACTCTCTAGGAATTCATGCTATAAGGAGGATCCCTGCTCCAGCAAGAGATAGAAACTAGGATACCTCTTGAGACACCTTTTAGCTCTCAGTTTACTTTTTTCTGACTTCCACTTGACCAAGACTCCAGTAAGCAAAGCAAATTGCTTAGCGATACTCACCAAATGGAACCACAGAGCGAGCATGGCTTTATAGGGCTAAAAGGGGCTCCCCCAGTCCCTAGATGATATGGGGGAAGATTACAGTGATCTGGAGCGGAGAGTTCTCTTTGGTCTGGGTTGACAGTTCCATCCTCTTGTTGCTGAGCAGCAGAAGCAGAAGCTGAGGGTGGGGCTTAGAATGTTTGTTAGTTTCCCCAGTAACCCAGCACCTTCTTCCCATGGTGGTAGCTGCAGTAGGGACAGAAGTAGATGGCCCAGATTTGGAACTTGCACGTAAGTAGACACAGAGTATTTCGTGTTGAGGCCTTTGCTTTTTGTTTGACACCCTCAAATCTTGTTTTTCAAAAGGGAACCAATTTCCATTTTCCATTTCCTGGAGGCTGGATATGGGGTCATAAGATGTGCACACTGTACATGGAGAAAATCTGTAACCACTTTTCAAGTTCTACTTTGACAACTGAGATCAGGAACATCCAATGGAGTCAGTAAAAGAGAGTAGTAGTGAGAACTGGGACAGTGGGTGCATGAATATGTTTTTGTCTGATTATGTGTTTTCATCTGGAAGGCTAGGAGAGGATGCAGGTTGAAAGGGGAGGTGTTTAAAGTCACGTTCAGATTATACCTCTAAAAAACAAAAAACAAAAACAAAAACCAAGCTACGTCTCAAAAAATTCTCAAGCAGTAACTACCGTATTGCCCATGTCTCTCATAGGTTGAATTCATACAGCCTAGTCCCAATATTTCAAACTATTTGGGGGAAAGGACTGACTGAAATTAGTTAAAAATTTGAATTACAGAATGCATTTTTATTATCTTCAGGTATATATAAAATGGGTAGTGCAGCATAGTAGAAAAAGGACCATTCAGCGTTATAAGACTTGGGGGGGGGGGGTTGAGTCCTCACGTGGACTTCTACTATGTGCCAATCTCAATCCAAACACATTTCTGGGGACGCCTCTCATCCTCATCACCCACATGAGAACACCCTGATTCACTCTAGGAAATCTCAAATGGACTGCAACAACCATTACTCTGACCTCTAAAATTGACTCCCAAATCTCACAGGTCCCATACTCAATAAAATAGGTAACTCTCCTCTGCTGGGCTTAGGATAATGTCTCTAAACACTCTCTATGCCAAATAAGAAACTATGTCCTGATGCTCCTAAAAACAACCTACTAGAATATCAACTTCCCTTTGGAACCTCCCTATGTTGGCAGGAGACAAGTAAGAAATATTCTGCCTTGGCACCTATTTATTTCTTCTCTACCTTCCCTTCCCTTCCTTCTTATGGCCCATGGCGTCCTAGTGGTGAGACCCAGTGGAAAGCCCACAGGATTTGGAATCCCAGGACTTATTTTGAAGTGAGACTCTGTCCCTTACTATCCAAGTCACTCTTTCTGAGCTTTGGTTTCCTTCTTTGCAAAAGGAAGGACTGGACTCAAATGATTTCTAAGGTCTTTGTAGCTTTAAATCTGTGATCTCAAGTTCCTGACAAGATATAGAGGTTAACTTGAAATGAACTCATGTCCAAATGGTCAAAATGCTTAATTAGTTGATTCTCAACCAATTGAGCTTTATATAGGCATTGGATGTTAAAAGTTTGGAAACAATTACCTTCAGAGTCATAAGATTAAAAGCTTTAATGAACATCACAGATCATCTAGATAAATGCCCTCATTTTATAAATTAAGAAACTGAGTCCTCAAGACATAAGTAATTTGCCATAGGTAACAGAGCCAGGAATCAGACCCAATTCCTCTGTCTTCAAATCCATTGCTCTTTCCCCTATCCAAGGGTGGGGAACCTGTGGCCTCAAGGCCACATGTGGCCCTGTAGGACCTCAAGTGTGGCCCTTTGACCGAATCCAAACTTTACAGAACAAATCCTTTTATTAAGGGGATTTGTTCTGTGAAACTTGGACTTGAGGTGGCAGGTTCCCCAACACCCCGGTACCATCCTCAAGAAATATTTAATGAGTAAGAGACCTTAGAAAGAGAAGCTATTCTAACTCTCTCTGCCCATCCACACATACACCCAAAGAACTAAAATTACTTGCCTATGGTCATACAGCAGAGCTGTGATTGGAATCTGGTATTCTTACTCCCATTCTGCTACTAGTGTGCCTGGCTACTATACTAATTTTGTAAAGCCTCAAACTTCCCATCATTCAAATATTTTCTTCACACATGGTAAATAATGAATCCTGGTCGTATTTCATTAATCATTCAAAAACTTTTGCACAAAATTGGGCTCATTATTATTGGGGGGAGGTTAAACAACAACTTAGAAGTCATTTATTATCTTGTTACTTTTCCCCCTAGTAATAACACTTCCTTTTAAGGAATTTAATTCCCTTAGTTTACATCACCAAGTAAGCCACGTGTCCTTGTGCAAAAAGAGTGACATGCTGGTCAGAATGTAATGATTTAACATTATTATTTCTGTACTTTCATATATATATATATATAAATCTCTGTAGACTACAAGCCAATGGAGGAGAAGCTTGTTGTCAGCCATATTTCTAACCAACCATCTAGGCCCAAAGAAGCATCACATCAGAGTCCATGCCTCGTGACGCATCATGTATTTCAGGCATGTTAGTTTCATGGGAATGGAGTCCTGAAAACCTACCCCAATTAGGGATGCCTTCTTGTACAAAGGTATTATTGAAGATGTGCTCTGGCCTTTCTCTGTTACATTTGGTTGATTGATTAGTTCAATAAGATTTGTTTCAGGGGCAGGTCTTACACTGGCTTTTATATTTCTTTCTCCTCTGGCTGCACACTGGACCTTGGGACAGGGCTAGTGCTATATAATTCTACCATATCCCTCAGAGTAACATAGTTCTCCCCGAGCACAAATGCATTAGTATAAAATTGTTTAATGTGCCATCTCTCCTAGGAAATTTTGTTTTGAACAAGGGACCAACAAGACAAGGAGCTCAAAGGACCGACTAGTGGTGGAATTTAAGATCCTCTGAAATCTAACTGATAGCAGCAGGACCTGATGTCTCTGAAATAAAATACATTGTGTTGACTGCCTAAAGTCAACTTAGATGCTACTATAATGATTTTTACTTTGTCTGCTGAGTAACTTCCTCAAGTAATAATGAACTTTAAATCTAACTCTAAATCTTATGACTCTGACAGTCAGTTATTTTCAAACTTTTAACATTCAATATCTATATAAAGTCAAATTTGTTGAAAATCGACTAATTAAACATTTTGATCATTCTCCTTCCCAAGGAAAATCCAAAATCCTGTTTCTCCCTCCCCATGTATTTCCTCATTATTCTTTCTATGATTTCCAACAGCACTCCTTCTATCTTGAAGGCAGAATGAGATACTGAATACTTTACCCGTACCTTTCAAACCCTAAGTGGGCAAGCATGCATTTCTGCTTCTCCTTTGTCTCTTGCCTCCCCCCTCTGCAGTTGATTTTCCATACCCTTACAAAATAATATGGATTCATTTACAAGGCAATATAGGTTTGAATAACTGGAACATTAATTGAATTCTTCTTCTTTTTCTCCTCCTAAATCCAGTAAACCTCTTAGATATTTATCTCCTTCAAGGCCTTTGCCCATAGATGTTCTTTCTTTGACTCTCAAACAATGTGGAAAAACAATTTTTGAACAATATCCTTGCCTGGTCTTATAAGCATTAAAACATTAATTTTGCTACTTAGTCATTTCTTCTACTTAACTGTTATTTAATTTTCTTATGTTTATTGTTTTGAAAGGTTTATTTATTGAATATATTGATCTGGTTTTCTTTTGGGCTAATAATATAAATGCTTCCTATTTGTTGAAAGTCTATTTTTAAAAAATGGTTATTAGGTAGAGTACTGGCCCTGAAGTCAGGAGGACCTGAGTTCAAATCCGGCCTCAGACCAAACACTTGACACGTACTAGCTGTGTGACCCTGGGCAAGTCACTTAACCCCAATTGCCTAAAATAAAAAACAAAACAAAACAAAAAAACGCAAAAAAAAAATGGTTATTAGGAGGATTGCACTTTGCAAGGTATATTATTTTGGGCATACAATCAAATCTCCTAAACTTTTCAAAATATCACATTCAAGAATCTTCTTTGAATCTTCATAAATAAAGTATATTCCTAGATAGATTTTCCTTAATAACTGAAAGCCTTTCTCTTGGCTACTTATATTTGTGGTTGCGTTTTGACTGCAGAATTTCTTGGTAATTTAAATTAAGATTTTCCCTCTTCAGGTGATCAATGGATCCTAATGATCTACATTTTGATTTCTAAGAAAGAGGTAGGGAGCTCTGTATAGAAGTGATGATCACAGTACCTGGTACAGGAAGAGGGACAACATCAGTACAGTCTACTTAAAAGCTGACATCTTATAGTTCAAGGAAAGGAGAAATCCATGCTATGGAAAGGTGACAAGATCATGAGTTGTTTTGAATAGAGATTTGAGTGCTGTGTGGACAAAACTGGTCAACACCATGAACACACCAGAGACCATGCAAGACCTTTCCCCATATCCTCACATAGGATGTAGTTCTTTCTGAAAATTAGTTCTTAATTTTCCCATTCGAATGCCATATGGATGACTAGAGCGATTTTGAAATCCAAAGATGCCAGCACTGAAAGCTGCAGCTGCTTTGTTGCAGCAAGGGGGAGGCATTTCCTCATTTTAGAGGTGTCGATCTCAAAAATACTCCTTTCCCACTCTACTCTGATTGGAATCAGAGATAAGTTTGCATTTATTTAGCAGTACACATTTGTACTCATGCTGGTTTTTTTATATATCTTTGAATTGTTTTATTTTAAAAGTATATGTCTCGAAACTTCCAGCCAGAAGACAGAATGAGAATCTACTTCTCAGCAAAACTTCTACTCTTACTACCTGAGAACAAGGAATATAGCCAATAAAGCAACAAGAATAGAAGCTAGAAAACACCTCCACAAAATGTAAATTATTGCACTATAATAACAAAAGCTATAAAGGACCTACTTTCAAATACCAAATCAATCATGCACTGAACATGATTAATGCTGGAACAAAGAGCTGGAACTTGAACTTTTATTGTGCCTTTTATCTTGTTTCTGCAACCAGATTCCCATCTCTATATCTTTAATGGAAAGAGAGTATTGAACTCATCT